ACCCGGCGACCTTCGTTATTTTGTTATGTCATATTTTTTGTCCTTTTGTAGCACGGTTTCGCCGCGGTTCGACCCAGCGCTCGAGTACGGACGAAATTCGATCTTCACTGCTCTGTGATCAAGGAGCACAATGTGGAGCAGAAGTAAATAAAGGAACGAAGCGACAAGCAAATAACTATCACTTGACCGGCGGCAGGACTGACCAGCGTGTGAAGGACCTAGGATCGAGCCGGGCCAGCTGTGTTATAACATATCCAAGCTGATGCAAAGGATTTCAAACATTTGATTTGGATATTTTAAGGGTAATGTAGTACGAAATTTTACTGCTACTGTTTGCGAGCAGCGCTCTATTTTGAACCAATGTGCTAGCTAACAAAAAGAATCGCTTCGAATCAGAGTGGAAAGTAGATGTTAGAGCAATCAAATTATCTGAATCTTTGAGCAATCCCTCGTATATTTTTTCCGTTGGACGGTAATGATCCCCCCCCCCAAAAAAAACAGATTTTGCTATTTAACCATGAAAGCAAAACTGTTGAAACAGTATGCGTAAGTTGCACGCGGATTTTTTTTTTCTTAAAACTATAATGAATTTTTTATTTTGCAAAAAGACATGTGCCTTTTATTTGTGATTAGTGTCTACATTGTACAACTTTCATTGTGTGAAATCTCTTGAGGTTCGTGTCTGTTTAAATTTGTTCGACTTATATACTAGCCAAAGTAACCAACTTATTGGACACCAATCCCTGGAACTGATATTGTTCTTTGAGAAAAGAATATTTTCAGTCGTATAAAATATTTCATGAAAACAGCAATTTCTTGAAGAGAGCCGGATATTCTGCATAAGGTGGATATTTCAGATAATATACAAGCAGATTTGGCTTGATGTAGGTGCAGCTGACCTGACAGTTAACAGCAGAGGAAATGGATTCGGCGAACCGTGTTCAAACAATGACTGGTTCAAGTTGATGTTCACTTCGCATTAATGCCCTTGGAAAAGGCTTGAAACCATCTCCCCTTCCAACCTATGGGTAAATCATAGGACAGACCTTCTTGGCAAAACCAGAAATCCTTACTAATACACTGCGAGCCTATTATAAAATTTTCTTTAAAAATACAACTTTGTCCCTTTCGACTATCGACGAAGACATTTCCAACCAATGAGATTTTTTTGATAACCTTTGCTTCTGGGTCTGATTACGAGGATGATACAGGTTAATAATAATACAAAGAAGAAATGAACTGGAAAAAGACTTGATAAGAGAACTTCTACAGATTATTTTCCACCAATCGGAAAGTCGGAATTTGAAACTTGATATAATTTTGAAAAGTACTAAATGAAATGACAGTTATGTTCGTGAGTGTGTTGTCAGGGCAGATGAAGGCAGTAGAGCAATTAACTGTTGCAGTGAGTTGAGAAAAGAGGACGCCTGATTCTGAGATACCTCGTGACACACAAACATCTCCGGGATAACGCGCAAAACCTTAAAACAGATAATTTTGAACTTTTTTTTATCTGAAACAAACACGCAACCGGACTAAGCTTCCCTCGATAATACGATGTTAAACACACACTCTTCAATTATAATTTCACAAAGATGTATCAACTTCTGAAAGTTTGCCCCAAAGGGGATTAATTCGGCAACTCCTTCTATTCATCAAATGGTTCCTCCCGCTGGTATTGACCTATCAACTCCGAACAGCTCAAAAAATATTTTAAAACACTTTGTGAACTTCGCTGATACTTTGTACTCTCTACCAAAGACTTTTATAACTTTCGCCACTAGTCTCCAATTTCCTATAAGCATTTCTCTCTATCTAACTTATTATTTTTAGGCGTTTTAAACAATATTGAACGCCTTTACCTTCTTTTTAGCAAAAAATATTATTGTAAATAAACAATTACTTTCTGTTTCAATTTTACACTGAGTAAAAATACTCTTTCAAATTGTGCCCTTAAAGATTTTCTTTTTTATTTGTATGTGTATTCTTATTGCTTTGGGTTTTTTTACAACTCATCAACTCGTTTTAATTTATCTAAAGCCGAAACATATTTTAGATTTTAAAAAATAATTCTTTTTACAGTGAGTGAATATTGCATTATTAGTTTTTTGAGAATACAATGATTTTTCTACATACACGCCCTACAATTTAACCCATAACTAAAGGGAATAGATGGGTTCATATCTTCACGTAAGTGAATGTAAAAAACCCGACTGGAATTCAAACTTAGCTCTCCGATTTCTAATTCTGATCCGTTACCTTTTTTCTTTTTCTTTTTTTTTTGTATGTGTGTGTGTGTGTGTGTGTGTGTGTGTGCGCGCGCGCGTGTGCGTTACGGGAAAAAAATTTTTTTTTTTTTTAATTTTTTCGTATTTATTTTAATCGCCTTGAGTCAACTTAAATGTTAGCCATATTTATTCAAAAAGAAATAAAATGTTTATGAAGAAAAAAAGAAAGAAAACTGAAAATATAACACCGAAATTAACTCTGATAAATATACCTGTTTCTCTTTGCCCATCTTGCCTTCAATACGTCTTATGAGAATCAAATTCTCCAAGCCCTCTTTCCTCATTTTATTTTTTATTATTGTTAGTTTTTGCTGTAATAATAATGCTTAATCGTCTAGGTTGATTTGTTTCTTTTTTTGTTTTGTTTTTGTTTTTTTCGTACACGTTCTTTTAAGAGAAGTGTATCTTAAGACGGCCAGACAGTTTGCGAAAAAAATTGTTACACATGTATATCTTTTTTACGCTCAGCGGTTAAAATCCACCAAAATTGTTATGGATCCATTTCAAGTATATGAAAAATTGTTTCTATTTTTTTTTTTTTTTTTTTCAGATTTTGTAGCCAATGAGAGCCGTTGTCTCAAGCCCTTGTGAAAACTTGGATGGAGTTTTCTGTGAGCCTCTTTTTTCCGAATAAATAGAACTCAGGTCAGTGGACGGAGAAGACTTCTTGACAGAAAGGAGACAAAGCAAATTGACATCAAGGAAGAAACAGGCAAGAAGGCAACAATTACCAACCAGCTGCAGAGAGTCTTGAAGTTCACAAGTGAAAATTCTCCTGCAGTTGGACAACAAAGAAGGAAAAGAATTCAAAATAATTTCCCAAGTACGACCTGCGTGAACTTAAAAGTGATCTTTCTAAAACTATTATACATCCCAGAGACGCACAGGGGGGCAAGTAAAAGTAGGTGTTTTCGTTTTGTTTGTTTTTTTTGTTTTGTTTTGTTTTTTTTTCAAAGGTGGTTGCACCTTTGTTTTTTCTGCTATCTTGAATTGTTTTCTCTTTTCTGTCATTGAATCCGTGTCTTTTCCTAAACTGTAACATTTTTTTTTATCATTTTTCGATGGTAATCATTTTTTGAAACATCAGAAATTTGTTAACCCGCCTTAATAGACGTACAAAAAGAAATTTTTGCACAAATTTTGTATTTGTAACCTTTTTTTGTCTTTATTTGTGTAATAAATGTCTTTCTTTTAAAATGTTTACGCAGTGGTTTAGTCTTATTTTGTTATTTGCGCCTATTTTGACCTCAAGGAGAAGAGAAGTGCGTATTCACTTTTCTCTTTCTACTAGGTTTATGTGTTTGGTACAAGAAGATTTGGTAGGGTATTAACATTTTTATGACATACTTAACGAGTTCGTGAAAATAGATGGCGGAACAGAAACTGGGAGGGATAGTAAAGGGATAAATGTTACTTAGAGCTACAAAGAAAAGCAAGTTATGGACAACCATGATTGCCGATGTCCTGAAGGGACGTTACGTATGAAAGAAAAAGAGGAAATATACCTGAGCAGCTAATTAATATTACTGTCTTCATCGATATTATCTAGTGGATAACGTTTGCAAAAAAAAAAAAAAAAAAATAGAAATATCATAGTTTACTATTATAAACTATATATAAATTTCTATAATAAACTATATATAAATTTCTATAATAAACTCGTCGACTATAACAAAGACGATGAGGATAAACATGCATTTATAGACAAAAAATGTGTTGACGTTTTTTACCGCTTTAAGATTCCGTAAGTTATCACAAAGAACTGTTAGGTAATCTTGACATATTCGAGGTGGATATTAGAATAATTGGGAACATATACTGGCAGCAAACGGAGAGAAAATGAATTCAGTAAATATCTAAAAAGTATAAAGGTGTGTATGACAAGGATGTCTTCTCATAGAATGTATTCAACATATATCGTGAAGCGATTTTGAGAGAACTAGAAGTCCTACCAGGATTTATTATTGGCGGCCACAATCCTAACATAAGATGTGCAGATGACACAGCGTTGATAGCAGACACAGAAATCGAACTACAAGAACACCCATAGAATGTAGTGAAGAAAAGCGAGAAGAAAGGACTAAACATCAATTGAAAGGAGGCAGAATGAATGGTTGTTAGCAAAAAGAATAGCCCAACATGCAAATTACAAATTGGAGATACTAAAATCAAACAAGTACAACAATTTAAATATCCAGGAATTGTTTTAACAGAAGACGGAAAATGGGACACTGAAATCCGAAGGCGCCTTGGAATAACGAAAGACGCCTTCCAAAAGATAAGCAAATATTATGAAACGGGGAAATTTCGTTAGAAACAAAGAAAAGAGTACTGAACTGTTGCGTAATATTAGTCCTCCTATATGACAGTGAATGCTAGACAAACTCAACAAAAAATGAAGAGATTTGAAGCAACAGAAATGTGGTTCGACAGAAGGATGATGAGAATGCCATGGTCCGAACATGTGAGCAATGACGAAGTTTTAGAGAAAATGGAAACAAAAAATACACTTATACATAACATCAGAAAGAGAGAGTTGAAATTTCTAGGGCTGATAATAAAGAAAGAGCAGTTGGAAAATTTAATACTCACAGGACAGATTGAAAACAAGAGGAACAGAGAAAGACAATGTATAACCTACTTCGCGAGCCTGAGTAAATGGATTGCAGAACAGGATTTAGGAGAGATAACGAAAAGACGAATTTCATTGAGCTAGAAAGGACAAGAAATTGTGGAGAGCCATGATCGCCAACGTTCGGAAGAAATACGGCACATAGAAGAAGAAGAAGAAGAAGAAGAAGAAGAAGAAGAAGAAGAAGAAGAAGAAGAAGAAGAAGAAGAAGTTGTCACAGTTGAAACTCTGTCAGAATTGATTTTTTTTTTATCATTGTCATATTTGTTATCGGATGAAGTAAAAATACATTCATTGTTATTAGAGTTGATGCCTATTCCCATCAGTTTAATCAACCTACGACAGCTGGAATATTCAGAAGAAGAACAACTTTCCACGGCAGCAAGCTTCCAAAACTACTTTCAGTCAAAATTAAATGAAAATAATTTATTCTTTGCGCATATTCTTTGTCGTTTATGAATGAGGAGAAAAAAAAGACAAGGACTTATCGGAGTTAGCTCCTCCCTAATTGTCACTAGGGGGTCTCTCAACCTACACCATAAATACTGGGAAACTTCTTGCCTCGTTCTCTTTTTCATTTCTTCATTTCAGCGAACACACCTACAATGTAAGCTCTCTTAGAAGATAGCGTCTCCTCACTTCTGAGAAGACGCCATGAACATTATACACGCATACACGTACGTACGAACATTCACCAAAGAACAAGCACAAATGTTCACACGCACACAAATGTTATTGTCTATGTCCATTGTAAAATTGTGTTGTTTAATATATTTGTTGATATATATATATATATATATATATATATATATATATATATATATATATATATATATATATATATATATATATATATATATATATATATATATATATATATATATATATATCGGTCTTGTTTGTTTTCTTTTTCATCTTCGGTTGAGTCCGCCATTTTCTTGTAGTTGAACCTTCTTCTAGCAGGAATAAATAGCACGTGTCTCTAATTCAACAACACGTAAGCCAAACGGGTCCTCTACATACTAAGAGCTACAAAGGACAGGAAGTTATGGAGAGCCATGATAGCCCATGGCCTGAAGGGACACACCAAGAAGTTCAAGAGAACTAAATTCAATTTTAACTGATTATTTTGAGTCCAGTCAAATTAATCTTTGCCAAGGAACAAAACGTAATCAAGGACTCATCCAAATTGAAAGACCAATTGCGTCAATACTCTATGCTCGAGCTGACTACATTGAAGAGAAAGTCCTATGTAGAGTCGAGTCTGTGATAATGCAAAAAGAAATTTTATTACTTTAAAAGGACTTTAACACACCACTCAAAAATTTAAGTTTAACGTCAATCGCCATCTTCTGTCTTGAATTCCTTTTTGTTTTATCCTCAATCCTCCCCATTCTCAGTCTTCTCATTCTTTTTCACTTTCACTCCCTGTAAACCCACCACCACCACCAACAACAACAACAGCAAAAAACACACACACACACACACACACATCCTGCGTTAGAGTAGCATTATCGCCTTGCTCGGGGTAAAACGATTTAAAAAAATTCTGGCCAATCAGAGCTCGACAAGAAATGAATATTCCACTCAATTGGATTTTGCTGCGCCGGGCCATCTTTGGAGTTTACTTTGCCCTAATAAAACTACAACTGTAGTTTCAGGTCAGACTACGGATTTATATCCATTAGTCTGACCTGAATTTTGAACTGAAATTTTAACAATATAATGCTCGCCCCCCCCTTTTTTTTACTAATATTTATCACTGAATTAAGCATATTACCAAGGAAAGAAATTATATCGAAAGGTACATATTTGTGTAAAGTAAAATAAATCATTTTTTAGAATTAAGCTTTAAATTTATTGATTTACTTTGTAGCAGATGCATGTACTATACGGGCTTGTATCGGAACTTTCGGAGAAATAGAATTTAGCATTTTCAGAAAGAATAAATTTCAACATTTCAAAGGAATCTAGCATATACGGTATATACCCGCGTATCTACTTTTGTAGACCTAATTTTGAAACTGATTTTAAAGAGGTCGCATCATACATAAGATATAAAATTAGTAGCGTATGTACTGCTGGCTCTGGCTACGCCGTTGACCAAGGCTACATATCAATTTCCTGTAGTCAAAAGGTACAACTGTATTTAAAATAAACATGATTTTGATAAAACTGATGTTTTACTTAACTACATCCAATAATACTTTATGTAATATTTACATACTAGTATCGTATTATAAAATACAAACATAGCGAATATGCCTCTTTTCCATTGTTTCTGTTTATAAGATGTTTAGTTTATGTTTAGATGTTTCTCGTTCGGTTGTTTATGGCTGTACGCGTTTATGCAACGTGTATAGCGTTACTAACGATACTTTTGTTGTGGAAAGTTTAGTGGTTACGATTTATTTAATGGTATCGACGGCCCAAATCAATCCATACAATTTTTTACTCTACGAATAAGTAAAAATGCAAAAACAAGAGGAAACAACAAGAAACATTTGTTATTGGAGACAAAAGACAAATATTTGAATAACAAGTAATTTTCAATGTATTTTTCAATTTTTGTAATGAAAATATTTTACAAAAATATAGTCGATTTTTTTAGGTGAAATCTTGTTAGTTTAATTTATGTTGAACTCAAGTTTGGTGAAAGATTAAATTTTGTTAATGAGTTCTAATTCGAAAGGTTGTTTGTTAGATTCTGTTATTGAAGATTCCGTAAATTAATTGCAAGAGAAAAAAATTACTGTTCATGTAAGTAGTAAATGTTTGTAAAGTTGAATGCAATTTGTGATCAAAGATGTTATCTACCTTTGATTGTTTTGTGTAATACAATGTTCTCGAATGTAATTGAAAAATAAGTTGATTTGTTAACAAGAATTTGTTTAACTTCTGCATAAAGGAATTTGGTGAGTGAATAAGAATAAAGTTCACTGATAAGTTTTTATGAGTGAGTGTCAATATCGTTAAGTTGTATAATGTTCGTATGAACGAAGAAACTTAAAATTGTGTGATGTGAAGTTTAGTTGCAATTCGATTGATGTCACAATTCTCACTGGCGAGTGTGAATGAGTTTCTCTTTTTATTTGCTTCGGGTGGCTTGTGGGAATCACTTTGACTTACATGTGCCACACCTCCGTTTTCTTTAATATCATTGGGTAATAAATACATGATACTTATTATAGGACAATTTAACCATCGCAAGTAATTCAAAATTTTCTCTAAAATCACGGATTGGTCCATTTCCTGACCAATCGCGTATTTTAGTATCTCTTCGATATTTTGGCACCAAGCCATCAGGAGCCTAAAACTTGTTATATAAAGACTCTCGCTGTTTGCCAACACAGTAGCAGTAGCAGTTCAATTCTTGGAAAATAAGGCACGGCGCTATACTGACATTTTAATTCTTAATTATCACTCAATCGAGTAATCATACTAATTCTTATTGATATCACTCATGAACATTACATTTTTCTACACTGATAAAACACTGTGGAACTATTCTTTATTTAGCTAAGACTTCAATTGAACTTTGTAGTTAAATTACATTCAATTTTGTACTCAACATTTATTAGCTAAACTTACCCTTTTATTTACGGAAAAAGGGGAACAACTTTCTTTATACTATTGTTGATATTTGTATATCATTGTTAATACAATATTGTATTAATGTTCACTGAGCTTGATTTTTTTTCTCTCGTGTTGTGCATTATTCATGTGGGGTGTTGTTTTACAAGAACACAGCCTTCCTTCTTTATTATATTCACGGTGACCCTAGCCAACAATACTTACAGCACCACTACAGGCTCACAGAGACTTGGCGCGAACTTGGATTTCAGTTATGAGCTGTAAAAATTAGTTAAGCGTGGGTGGATAGTCATGCCTACTTGTATATTTATTAACCAATGAGGGCTCGAGACTTTTTTGAAGGTGTATGAAGTTGAAAGTGTTCTGTGATCCACTTTTTGCACAGATTTGACTCAACCATTTTGAGTATTGGAATAATGTAGAATTTGGGTTCCACACTTTTATCATTCTATTTTACATTTTTAACTTATTTAATTAGAAGATGGGATAAAGAGATAGAGAAAAAGAGGTTAGTCTATTGTAATTTGGTTTGTCAAAAAAAGGAACTCACATGATACACGAGATACATGATAAAATCATTTTTTATAAGTGAAAGTTTGGGAGTCGCACGTCACGCGAGATCGAGAGATCTTTATATAAAGAGTAACAATGCAAGAAAAGAAAACACATGCGTGTGTGTACACAGATAGATGAAATAGAAGAAAATGTAGGCTTTGATGTCAGAAAATGTGTCTATATGCATGTGTGGGGATAAAATAAAAACACGAAATAAAATAAAAATACAAAATTAAATAAAAGTACAAAATAAAATAAACATAAAAATCTCCCAGGAGTTTTCTGACAGGAAAGACAATTTACGCATGTGCAAAAAGAGAGATGTCCTGGCACCAAAAATAAACTAGAAGAATCTATCTCTTGCTCTGTTGGACCTTGACTGGTGAACACGTGCCAACTGTTCGGGAAGGAAATTCCCCAACAAGAGGTCGTTGGAATCCAAAAAAAAAGGAAATATAATCAGTGTCCTAAACTGTCCCTCTAGGCAATTCAACAAGCCTTGGGTGTTTAGGTGAAAGAATCAACCCAGCAGTAATAGCTATAACATCCATACATGCACGAGTGTGAGTTAAATCTGGTAGGTAGCCGCCGAGTAGAAAGACACCCCCCGCCCCTGCACCCGGCTGGGTACAAAACTGACGCTGCTACCTTTCGGGGCAAAAAAAAAAAAAAAGAGAAAGGGTTTTATTGTCAGAGACTTTATAATCCTAAACAGCGTCATCTAGCGAACCTTTTGACAGACAAGATGTATGGTAAACCCCACGACCAACTTATCACTAAAGTTGATAGACAGCAGTTAATGTTGACAACTCACGAATTTTCTAATTGAATTGTTCACCTATATTGCATATGATCGATCCATTATTGTACATAATTAGGTTACAATAAAATTTGTATTTTATATGAATACTACCTTATGAAAATTGTGATGCAGTAAAGTGCCCCCATCATAGATTCGGGAGCCTGGTTTCATAGATTCGGTGGGGGCCCACAAAACCTTTGAACTTGCCTTGTATACGATCCATCACTAAAGATACTGGGAAAAGGAGGTGGTTCCCTTGCCACTTCAGAAAGTACCTGACTTCTGCCATGTTTTATCTTTACAAGCGCCAGACCAGACTAAAAATAGAATACTGTTGTCTCTGCTGGTTCTGCTCAATCCTCACTTTCAAGCCATGACATATTTTACAAACATTTACACGGCCTTATGGGCAATGATTTATTTTCCACCCTACTACCTCTTTCCTATAGGCGAAACGTTGCAAACCTTATGGCGATTCTATTCCTATATCCATGGCTAATGTTAAGACGAACTCCATTCCTAATTCCACCAGTTGAAACCTTTACAGCTAAGATCCGCCATGCCACATACACAAAGTCGAATCCTCCTAATTCCCTTCGTATTTTATTGCTAAGAAGGAAAGTTCAACCCAGATCTTCCCAAGATCCACTACTTTGTATAACAGACCCTTAGGAGCTCCGATCACTACAATGTTAATCTCTTCAAATATAGGGCCAACCACTTTTTCTATTCTAAATATCCACATAACCTGTACTTATTTCTTCCCCTTTTGTCCATACAACAACCTCATTCAATAACTCTCTACCTTGAGTGGCTCTTTGGCCTTTTATTGGTGGATATTTCGCAAAGAAATTCTGCTGATTAAACACGTAAGTATCGCGGTTAGTATAAAAAATATTTCAGAAGCATAAATTAATAGAACAATATTTATTACTAGCAGCATGGCCCGGCGTTGCCCGTGCTTGATTCAAAAATAGTACGACTAATACAGCAATCGCTATCACTTGACTTAAAATATTTTTGCCCTTCCTTGTCTTTAGAGGAGTGCCCTTTGCCGTGCTGATGTTGTTACATGCCTTACTTCTTGCCTATATCACACTGCCAACTTTTTCTAAGCTCTATAGTAAGCATTAAATCTGTTACGAAAAAAGAACTAAACACAATACGATCAGCTTTAAAAAACCGGAAAAACATTTTTAAGGGTTGACCGATTGTCGATTTGCACTCTGTTTGGGGGTGCTCAGAGTTGAAACTTCACATGATGACTCCCAATGGCTTCTTCATAAATCCGCTCGGTTTTCGCTAAAACCGACATGCGGTTCAGACGCAATTTCTGGGCGTATCGGTTTTTGGGTTTTATCGATTTTCCGCGCTGTTTAGGGGTCCGTGGTCATGAAACTTCTGGACAAGACTTCTAATGGTAGACTCTAAGAGGGTGTCAAATTTGGTTGAAATGCGATCATTCCTTCTGTAAGCAGAATTTTTTCGATTATCGATTTTTTCGGAACCTGATTCCGAACTCAAAAATCGGGCCCCGTCCTATCCTTACGGCAGCCATTTGCAAACTTGTGTTGAAAACCGCATCGAAATCGGGTGAGAAATGCGGCCTGGACGAGGCAACAACACACACACAGACAGACAACATGAGATAGATAGATAGATAGATAGATAGATAGATAGATAGATAGATAGATAGATAGATAGATTACTCCATTTGTATTTGATTTCGAATAATAATATAAAATGGTCGGGAGAAACGCTGGTCGTGAGTTTTACTTCTGCTCTCGTAGTCAGTGTTTGAATTGAGTTAAGAGTAAACGGGGAAATGAATTTTCATGTCAGTCACGTCACACCATCCTAGGAGACAGGTGTAATTAAAACTTCCAGATTAAATTATATAAAAATTTATTTAAGATATTGCTTGACTTTATCTATTGCGAAGCAGTCGAGTGTTTCCAATACTTTTATTTGGGGACTGAGATCTGCGTGTGTATTTGAGCGCGTGGTATTTCACTGACATGATCATAGTAAGTATGACTGGTGTCAGAATTTACTGTAGAAAAAAGTTCATGCCTTTAGGTTTGTAGCGGACCCCTCGAGCGCCCCCGTATCGCAAAAGGGTGATGAGGTCACAAGAGGCCCGCTAACATTTCGAAGACGTTAAATCTGACAAGGTGAAACAACATAGACGACAGAACGAGGATATATAGGATATATGCTAATTTATTCTAGAAAAAAATAAAGAAATAAAGGTGGTCGGAAAGGTAGAGATGCTGACGTTCTGGTGCAGGCATTGATGGTCGAGGTTGGTCGTTGCAGGTGATCGCTGCTGGTCGTTGCAGGTGGTCATCGTAATTGAGGTTGATGTTGGTCGTTGCAGATGATCGCTGCCGGTCGTCGTAGGAATGCCAATGTTGGTCGTTGGAGATGATCGCGCAGGTGGTCGCTGCTGGTCGTTGCAGATGATCGCTGTTGGCCGTGCAGGTGGTCGCTGCTGGTCGTCGTAGGGATGCCAACTTGACGTGTCAGGAAGGAAAGAGGAGCTGGCGTTGCGATGTTGTTCGGGCATGTCAAAATTCCAGAGCCAACAATAACAAGAAAATAATATGACTAACTCTGATTAGTTCGATAAGCTCAAATTGCTGGCTGATCTCACAAACTACCTACAGTCTGTTGTTAACCTGGGCAAAGAATGGCTTGTTAATTTTAACTGTTCTTTATTAATCATCTGAGAGATCCCTTCCACCTTCCATCTGTATGGCTGATGCTAACCTCCAAGAGAGTAACTCATTGGGATTTCTCGGCTGACATGAAGTGGAAAGACTACATTGAACATATTGTTAAGTCAGCTGCTAAGAAAATTGATTTACTGTGTCGTGCTAGTCAATTTTTCTCTCCAGAATCTATCTTACATATCTATAAGTCTACTATTCATCCATGCTTAGAATATTGCTGCCACATATATTCCGGTGCTCCTGCTATATATTTAGAGATTTTTGATAAAATCCGAAGAATCAGCAATATTATTGGTCTTGACCTGGCGTCTCGGCTTCAGTCACTTTCCTACCGCCGTAAAGTTGCTTCCCTGTGTCTTTTCTATAAATACTTTCATGATAAATGTTCAGGTGAGCTCTTTACTAGTATGATGCCTAGACTTTATGAATTTAAGCACTGTAATAGATTGGCAACTAGGTCTCATCAATCTACAGTTGAAATGGCTGGATGTAACCGTAAGTTCTATACTAATAGTTTCTTCTCTCGCATAGTTTCTGTTTTCTAATTCTCTCATGCCCAGTAATCCCTTGCCTTATGTCTTAGTAGTTTTACTACTTTGCATGGGGTAAATTCGATTAAAAACAAAAACGCAGCTGTAACCAAGATTTGAACCCGCTATTAGTTGTGTTGATAATACACGCCTTATATGAAATGTACAATTTTTAAAATAACTTGAAAAATGATAAAACTGTACATTTAACTTAACGAATGCTCCCTAATGAAATATATTATTAACTAACTTTGACTACAATTACTATTACTGCTAAAAAACGTTTTTTTTTTTTTTATTTCCTTAGTTTTTTCAACTGAATTAAATTATTTCTTCTTTGACTAATGTGTCAATCTCACGCACTCCAAAGACAAAAAGAAAATACTGACTACCGACAGCATTCAGTTGCTCGCGATAGCTCAGTTGGTAGAGCGGAGGACTGTAGTAGGAAAATAATTACTGATATCCTTAGGTCGATGGTTCGAATCCGTCTCGCGAGATTTTTTTTTTCTTTCTTTCTGGTTTATCAAATTTATCAAGTGTGTCTGGAAAGGAAAAAATCAATTCTAAAAACAAAAGAATACAATCTTAAAGCCAGAAATTCAATAAAATAGATAAATTTAATCAGCATTCATTATTTCTTCAAGAAATTAATTTCCGAATGTTATTTCTCCAATCTGTTTTAGGATATTTTAATTGATTTTTATTGGTATGCCTTTCGCCAGAGTGTTTTGTGTGGGATTCGGCTTTCAAGTCGGGTGAGAATGCTGTAAGTATTTGCATAGTAAAATTAATGCACACATTTTTTCAACTGGGAGTCGAGTGATTACTGGGCGAGTAGCCCCCTCGTGTCCTCTTTGTGGGGCTTAGGAGTTAAAATGAACAGTTGATTTACCCACGCCAAAAAAGATTAATGAAGGATGATAATGACGAGGAAACACACGAGTAATTTTAACAAAATAAGATAAGGAATTTACTCACAGATTTATATACACTTGAAATAGTGTCAGTAGCTCGTTTCAGGAAAATAAATCAGAACTCTTAAAGTCCGTAGTTTACGTATTGTCATGAAGAGGCAATATTCATGCAATAGATTAAATGATCTGACACCGAATAAAACTAAAATTTTTAAAACAAAGCTAAGAGGGTTCATTCCACACCGAAGGAATATATGGTTTGCATACTTTCAAAAGTAGACGAAGTGAGGTAGTTTGAAATATTTAGATCTCTTAGATTGTTGCGAGAAAATTCTTTGAAGTGCTCCGTGCTGGCTACAGGCCAATAATATAATTGGCGAGTAATTTTACACTGGCGAGAATTTCAACGCTGGTCGCGAGGAACTGATACAAAACCTGACACATGACTTTCGACACTCTTTGCTCATTAATTTAATTTTTCTCCTCATTTCACATCAAATAGAATTTCGTGTATTTTCTTTTCTTCTTTTTCTTGGCTTACCCTCTAATTTCTGTAAAGGCAAGGTTTTCATTGGCCAAATAAAATTTTTCCTTCTTTTTCCTCAATCAACCGAATTTGAAGGAATTATAGGATAAACTGATATATCTTACGGCCAATACGTGAAACACAAACAAGTAAGAGACGCCTTCAAATAATTCTCACTAAATTCAGCAGATACGAAAAGCCTTTACAGTTACAGTGCCAAAATTAAATAATTGGTTTCTGGAACCTGGTTGGATATGGCAAATCACGTGATGTGCTTTCTACAACATCCGCGCAGTTGAACGCCAAATAACCTGAAAATAGGTCAAGGATTGGGTTGTGGAGTATGTTCCCGCGAGAAAAAAAAATCAGATAGGATTCGTAAACCGACAGCGGTTGTGAAATAGCAATAAAAACGGCTTATATATTACTCTTCAAATGCAAATTGAGTTCTCCGAGCCGCTGGCGTATTTTGTATAGAAAAAACGTTAAAATTTCACTTCTCTGCAACGATGGCTTAGGGCAGAATATCTGATTGATGTCAAATCGGTCAGGTTTCGATCCCGGCTTGACGCAATCGAATGTCTAGCCACACTGAAGAGTTGTAATATATATTCAGCGTAATTAGGGAAATCATTAACAGAGATCCCATGGAGAAATACTTTACAAAGGTTCTGTAATTTCTCTTCAGCATCTTTCCAGGGAACTACATCTTATTCCATATTCCAATAAACCAATAACCGGCTTGCTAAGCTTTTACAATTTTAAGAATTGGTTCGCTCGAATTGGTAGGATGCCACAACAGAATAAACCCCTTTACACTTGTTCTCAAGTGTCTTTCCAATTTCTGTATTTCAAAAGTCGCCAGCACTAGCAGTGATTATTGAATGCGACCAGACCGGATAAGACAGACGAGGTTTCAACCAAAAACTTCTATGTCCCTTCGTCTGATCCCATCACATTTTTGTTAGACGATAGCTCTTTCGACATCTCTTAACACGACATAGATACAGAAAGTATTGATGGGACGTTCCCATCGAACGGGGCATACTCAACCTTACTAGCTACACATCTCCACACTCAAGCAGAGATTGGTTACAACTTAAACACACCAGAAATTATTGACCTTGATAAAATATCTTCTCCAATGCTAAATAAAATTGTAGAGAACCGGGTGCGGGTTGTTTGTTTTTGTATTAGGGACACGTGTATTTATTTCCTGCTAGAAAGGTCCAACTACAAGAAAATGGCCTGACTTGAATTAAGTCCAACTGAAGATAAAGAAGACAAACAAGACCGATATATATATATATATATATATATATATATATATATATATATATATATATATATTAGAATATTATAAATTAGACTATTTCGTTGGCAAGATGCTGCAAGGACGTAGGAGTATTTTTATGAAATGGAAAAACATCTTAAAATTAAAATTTAAGAATAAAATACATAATGCGATTTAAAAAAAAAAGGGCCTAACTTCACAAAAAAGTTTTTGTATCCGAGAGGAGGCGTAATGATAGCGGCTCGGATTGAGGAATCGTGGAGCCAAGTTTCTGCCACTTTCAAACGGCCGTGGTAATTCCCATGGGTCTATCCTGGTCAACACGGCACCAAATCTACCACTTCGTCCCCAGCCCCTCAACCTCCGGCGTCTTCCTCTTTGTGTTGAGGTGTCCACTCGGTCCGAACCGAACTTAGGGTTAACTAGCCGTACGCTCCCTGAGTACCTGTAGATTATTTCGACCGGTCAACTGGTCAAGTCCTGCTTGCTGCCCACGTTGTGTTAGTTTTTAGATCCACTAAGCGGAGTGTTGTCCATACGTTCGCGGTCGACTGGGGGTGTGGACACGGCTGTGAGAGTTGGCGGTAGGAAGTTTAGAATGTGGCAAAATAAAACGAGAAATAATATCTGCAGAAGTCAGACAACAATGGGAGAAATATTGACGTCTTTTATATAAGAAGATAACATCAGAACAGAGGTTACAGGGAGAATAAAAACATTTAACATAAATGAGCAAAGAAAAAGACACAATGCATCCAGCGAATTCCCAACAGAAAGAGGGTTGTGTGTGATAAACGCGTATTGAATCGCCTGGGGTAGGTTTATGACTAGTAGTCCAGTCTCATACAGATTTCTCAGAACAGGGGGGCAGTCTTCCTTCTCTAATTCTCCCGCAAATCTCTCGGGACTCTATCTGACGACGGTCTCGTTCTCCGAGTCTCTCTCCCGTCTTTTTGTAGCACCGCGACCCGTAATGGTCGCCTGCGGGTGCTCACGCACGTGACGACGATGTGCCGACCGATCGCGGTCTCTCCCGTCTGACCTCTTCCGTCTAACTATGCGTTTATATAGATCATCTGTTTGATCATAAATCGACCCTTGGTCCGGCACGCAATTATCATGAGTGCCGTTTCCAACCCAAAGTCATGTGAGTTTCAAAGTTCTGATAGCCTGAGTAAGCTCTATTTTAATTTTTAACCGATAAAATTTAGTTAGATCATTTCCATTGTTTTTTCAACGACCCAATTCCAAAGGCGAGATCAGATTTTCTCATCAGTAAACAGAACGCTCTGATCTAGTTTCGCTCGATAGATTCACTCCAATTTCAATAAAAAAATATATATATGTGTGTGTGTGTGTGTTTATGTGGATGTGTTTCCGTATACCTCTCTCTGTTACAGATCAAATTCCAGTCGAATCAATTACATTCACTTACATGTTAATACTCTAGGGGAATCCTCTTCTTCTCCCCCCAGCTTTGGGTAAATAGACCAAGTTCTGTAGTCTTGGATGGCAACTGGTCTATCGCAAGAAAGAAATTGCAACCTACTGCGGGAAAAAATCGGCCTCGTCAGTGATGTATCGAAAGATACATGATCGCCTAAGCGTGTATCACGCTTGGCATACAACTGACTGATCCGAATATTGTCTATGTCATTCTTATAGAAATCAGTTTGTTCATTTTAAAAATGCAAAAAAACGAACATGCGAAAAGAGCGTATATCAACTTATGCCGCTTTACAATCCCACCAACGAATTTCAGTTTTAAAGGAACTTTGTGGGTAAATGCCAGAAGTTTCTTAGTCTTATTTATCGGAAATAAAACAGAATCAAAGGTACAAATAAATAATATATATTTGACTTCGATTGGAGCGAGTCATTTGTAATTAGGTGTCTGTAGCGAAAGTTAGTTTATAAGTCAGAGATCTTTGTCGCAGTCGGGAGAAAATCCGTTTCGGTTCGGTAGTAGATAGTTTAGAAGTCAGACCTAGGTAATAGTTGTCATCTTAGAAATAAATGCGGAGTCAATCTGCTGTTTTGTCGACCCTAAGAAATGCTGAAAAAAAATGTTATAAGCAGATGACCGCTTAACTTCTTCACGCGACACACGTTTCTCTGACGGTCCCTTCTCTTTTTCTGCCTCTCGGCTGTCTGTTGATATCCTTTTTGACTCTCAGACTACTGGCGCGAAGCTTGGTTTTGGCCAACATTAAAACTTTCCTTGTGTTAAATTTTTTGATTGGCCCAAATTATTTTTATTTTCCGGCGTTCCTTTCTTTTTAATTTTTTTTTATTACGAAATTTATGCGTGGAGCCTCTCTTATTTTGGTAGTTTTTAGTCACAATGGCTAGACCCATGAACCAGAAAAATTCAACCGTTTTCAATCTTTTCTTCTTCCTCTTTTTATTTGAGAGTTGCTTTCTCGTTAGTTGAGAGAGAATGGTAGAGAGAGAGAGAGAGAGAGAGAGAGAGAGAGATGGACTTTAAAGGAAAGCAAATGTCTTATTTTAATTCTTTTATTTTTTGTTTATATATTTTATTTTATTTTACATTTGAGTCCACAACTTACTCATTTGTGAATTTATAAATTGGAGACGAAAAAGCAACATGAATCTTACTTCATGAAAAACTATATCTCTGGTGAAAATATTTCTTTTTTCTACTTTACTACCCTTCTCTGTCTGATTCGATTATTTCGACTTATAGATATCGATTCTTTGACAAAAGGAAAAGCAAAATGATGCTGTACACAGTCAATGAACTCACGAGGCTAGCGAATTGGTTTGCAAGACGAACTTGTTAACAACTGGCACTATGCAATGACTGAAAACCACCAACTCTCCCAACAAATACATATTTTATTCCATAAATCTATTTACAGAAATACGAAAAGGAATTGGCAATGTTTTGCCAGATACCATGCGACCGATTCGTATCCTTTCATTATTTGTATCAAACTCCCTCAAATAAAAGTCAAATACTTAATAACGTGTAGGTCCTTCCACCGCTTGAATAACGGCGAATATATGACATAGCATGGAGCCTATGGGGACCTGGAGTCATTGTGAAGATTCTGCGAGTTGTTGGATTCACTGCGTGGATATATCTATCCAGGCATATCCCAGAGTTGTCCATAACTGAGTTGTGTTTGCTGAATGTAGCTACATAGAATCTAGTGAGGTTTACAGTATGTACCATATTTACTCAGTTAAGTACCATATGTGATACACGCTGAGACGGCAGATTTTCCCGTGGTAGGCTGCGTAAAGGAGGCATGGATAGCGAATCAGATAGTAATGGAGCGGCTCTGATTAAGAAATCGGAGAGCCGAGTTCGAATTCCAGTCAGATCCATTACATTCACTTACATGCTAATACCCTTGGAAAAGGTATGAATCCTCTTCTTCTCCCCGCTCAGCTATGGGTAGATAGCAGGACAGACCGGGTTTAACTGGTCTACCGCAGAAAGAAATGGCAACCTACTGCGGGAAAAAATCTGCCTCATCAGTGATGTATCGAAAGATACATGATCGCCTAAGCGTGTATCACGCATGGCACATAACTGACTGAAGTTGCCATTTCTTTCTGTGGTAGAGTGGTTTCCAACCAAGGTTATAGAACCCAGTCTGTCCTGCTATTTAACCTATAGCCGGAGGGAGAAGAGATGAATTATCCCAAGGGGTATTTGCATTTAAGTGAATATAACAAACTCAACTGCAATAGAAACTCAGCTCTCTGAGCCGATATCCATTACACCACATTTGCTCAATAGGGCTTAAATTCTAAAATACCCGGAATCAAATACGTGTTCCTGGAATAAAGTTTTGTGTCATCCGTGAACGATGGGAAGTTTACTGTACAATGTTGGAAGAAACTATAAAAGATCTGTGTATATTACAACAGTTTCATATAGTGGTTCTTGCAAACATGACGAGAACAAAATATACATCATTCTAGAAGCACCACCAGCTTGCACAGCACTTTATTGACAGGCTGGATGCATAGCCTCATGTGGTCTCCTCCACAAAACGAACGTCTGTTCAAAAGAGTTGACAAAATGATTCGACTGATCATGCAAAAAAACACCAGGCCAATGACAATGTTCTCTGTCCCAGATGAGGCATAGTAATTGATACTGTGATGTCAATAATTGCCTGAAAACCATGCTGAGTAATCCAAACCTTGTGAATGAATTTAGATAGACAGAATTTGGTGATGCTAGCATGAAGTTTCAAGTCATTGTGAGTGAGCATTTGAGTATACTGGCCTGATTCAAGATTATGTTCTCTATCCCAGAAACTGTAACTAAGGTCTGTTCAGCATAGTTACCACATAAATCACAGGTGGTCTTTGTGAGTGTTGAACAAATACAAATGTGCCTGCAACAGGAATTGTTTATCATCCTCACAGACAGGTGTGCTCGAATGACACTTTATATATATATATATATATATATATATATATATTGCAACGAATATTGCACTTATATATATATATATATATATATATATATATATATATATATATATATTGCACGAACACATACACGATGAAAAATACTTGTACCAATAAGTGCATATAAAAAAGAAAAATTGAGAAGTATAAGCAATCAATTGCTGATAACCCTGATGAGTAGACAGATGGGTCTATCTACAAGACTCTGGAGTCGGGATGTTGAAGGTAATATCAATCAGCTAAGTGACAAATCTTTTACTGGTGTTAATTCTCCCCCCCCTCTCTCTCTCTCTCTATATATATATATATATATGCTCCTGGGAAATCTAATTGAGCTCTCTTGAGAAAAGGGTAATTTTAAAAACAGTAGCTCATACCACTATTAATGCATTGCTCTTCAACCAAATTGAATTGAACTCTCCAGGCCACTTACATATTTCTCATAAAAAATGTTAAAATTTCCCTTCCTCTCTGCTGTGCGATGATAGGCCAGTGGTAGAATCTCTGACTGATACCAAATCAGTTGGGTTTCGATCTTGGCTTGAAGCAATCGGATATCTAGCCACACTGAATAGTGAAAGTGGATGACAATATATATATATATATATATTGCTTAAGCGTTATTTTTAATGGATACCCATATTTGAGTAGATACTCTGTTTTAGCACATATTTTTCTAATAAGATTTCTTGAATATTCAGGTTGGTAGATGGAAATAAATAAATAAAATGAGAGTATATACTCAAATATGAGTATCCATTAAAGATAAGGTTTAAGTAATAAATTAAAATATGTCTGATTAATAAATGAAAAATTAATTCCTAAAATTGTCTTTGTTTATGTTAGGATATGAAATTGACTATTTTATATATATTTTATATATATATATATATATATATATATATATATATATATATATATATATAGAGAGAGAGAGAGAGAGAGAGAGAGAGAGAGAGAAATGTGTGGACACCAAGAAAACCACACTGCATGGTGACTGTCAGTTTCATACTTAAGTGATCACTAAAGCAAATTTTAAACAATTACCATGTATTGTTGATTTCTGTAACCCCACTATCTCTGTCTTGTATATATAACACTTTTCACAGAGTGCACAGATACTACTCTGATCCTAGGTAGCAAGTTCAGGGAGTGTAACTTTGATCCAAGCAAGAAGTGCTAATCCATATGCAAATAATTCCATCATTGATGACAGGTACAATACTTGCAGTGATATAATCCTGTATTTTCACTGAAAAATCATGAAAATATAATTTCTAGACAATAAGGACTAAGTATTTATAATGTTGGGTCCATTTAAGGACTTTTACAATTTGTAAAAAATTTAGGCAAACATGGATAAACATGCCCACAACAAGATGTAGTGTCAAAAGGATGGTTTTCCCCTTGAGATTGCTATTATTTTAACTACCTTCACTCTTCAACAATGTTATTTTAAAAAGTGATTTTGTTTTTAATCATTTCACCCAAGCAAGGCAGTAATGCCACTATTATGCAGGGGCTTACAGGGAATGAAAGTGAATGAGAAGACAGAATTGGGAGGATTGAGGGAAGGACAAAAGATGGCAATTGATGTTGCATTTAAATTTTTGAAAGAAAACAGAAGGGAGTTCCACAGGTGGGAAGTGCAAGAAAAGAAACTTTTGGAGTGGAAATTGATGGTCAAGATATCAATCTAGTAGCACATTTAAATTCATGTATTCGGAACACAAGGGAAAAAGTTCATCAAAGCAGTTGCCATGAAAATATTTTTAGAAAAGACAGAGGGAAGTGATATCATGTCATGTTGAAGGTGTTAAAATTTATAAGCCATTTCTTGTTTTAGTTAACCACTGATTGGAGGTCATTTTTAAGTTTGTCAGATCTGATGGATTTGTTATTGAGACAAGAGTAAATGTGATGATTAAAATCGGAATACAACCTAAACGTGATGAAAGCAAATTTACAGATTTTTTTGTTCTTGAGAATTTACGAGAAAAATATTAAACACTTTATTGTTTATTTACAAGAATAATTTTATGACTTAGTTATAACTCATGCTGTCCAAACATCTATATATTTATATTGTAGTATTTACCTATCTTTTTACTTAAGGTGTATATCACATTCCATAAGAAAATAAAAATTAAGCTTCACCTACTTTAAAACATTAAAGGGGGAAAAGGAGTAATAAATCTCAAGACAGCAAACCTGCATCTCTATGCCCTTCTTTTGTCGCCATCCTTTCTCTATCTTTCATTCAATATCTGTCTATATCTTTTAGATGAGGTATTATGATTACTTACATTATTCAGACTGTTATCCCCATCTTCATTGCCATATTCATGTTTCAGCTCCGGCCTTCTTTAGATGATTGGAATTTCAAACAATCTACCCTGGTGGATGAAATAAAGAGTTCGGTTCAAAATTCCAATTACCTGAAGAAGACTTGAGTGTGGAATGGCTGAAATGACATGAATATGACAATGAAGATGAGGATAACAGTTCGAATAATGTAAATAATGTAAGTAACCTTCCACTCACTTTTCATAGCTTTCTTACTTACCCTACACGTTTTTTCTTTCAAATAATCTTCTATTTTGTTTTTCTCACAAATCCATTGTCATGTAGCAATGAACAGATAGGCAGCTGATGGAGATCATATATATCAGAATGTGCGTGCATGTGACACTTCATATATATTACACAGATTTGGGAATCTTGATATGGTGTAATGGTTAGCAAGGCTTGTCTCGCTAGATCAATTACAACTGAATAGTGAGTTTGATTCTCACTGGGTGTTCCATACTTTTGGCCTTGTGCCAAATCTAAGCCATGTTTAGAAAATCGTTCTTGGGCACTTTGATGTGGTGTGATGGTTAGCAAGTTTGTCTTGCTAAACCAATTAAGGCTGAGTTGTGAATTCGATCTTCATTGGGTGCTCCATAATTTCGGCCTTGTAAATCACTAAGCAGAAATTTCAAAAATAACATTTTGATACTTAATAGAACTACTGATCCACATTTACTGGTGAATGTTAAAATGGCATAAATACTAACAAATAATACCAATTAGGGGATACTGTTACCAGATACTGTTAAATAATAGTTCAGTAGACTATTATTTTCAGAGGAAGTGTATCTTGGCTCAGATTTCCAGAGGTTGAGATTCAGGGTCAGATGTGAGACATAATAGGGAAGTCAATTTTGATTGGCTGAGCTAGCATGGGAAAGATAGAGAGGAGAAAGGCTTTAGCAAGTTGGTTCTTACGATGCTGACATGTTCTCTTTCATGTCTGAAACTGCTCCCCAGTGAGTGGTGGTGGCGGGAGGGCGACTCTTACTGGATAGTTAGATGATGTACATGTTGACATAAATAATAAAAACAGTTAAGTTAAATTCTCTGTGTTTGAAGTCTTTCATTGCTGAACCAAAACAATTAGTGATCGCCGGCTGAGAGAAGACAAGAGAAGACCCCCACACACACACACACCAGGGTTCTATGCAACAATAACCTTTGTATATAAGACCTGAGAGACATTTTTTTTTTTTAAAAGAAAAAATTAGGTGTCTTGTCTCTTATAGGCCTTGAAATAAGGTAATCTAATTATTGTGTACCCAATAACAATTGAACCCAATGCAGTATTAATGACCTATGAAATTAGCTTATTCACCAATGAAGAATCTGTATGCACATGCTGAGTAATTCTTACATGCTTTTAAGGAATCTACTCTAATTGAATAATGCAAAGAGAGAAAATTTGTAGAAGCATGTCAGAAATCCTTTTGTATTTTAATGATCTTAACTGGAATATCATTAGTTCTGAAGTTTGTGCATGGTAAACATGCTGGAAGCAAAGTGACAGCTGACAGTTAAACAATAAGAGTTAATGAATTTTAAAATGAAGACATTCATATTTTTCCTTTGTTGAGGCTTGTTACCACACATTCAGTAATTTAAATGAAAGAATAAGAATTCCAAATCAAAGCAAAAATAAACCCTTTTGTGTTTAATCTTGTACATATAAAATTTTAGTAATAATTGCTTCAAAGGCTCAAAATTTGTTTTAGATTCAGCTGAAAAGTGAAGTTTTATCTCAATCTTTGGATGAGTAATGCCAATGAAAAGTGGAAAGAAAACAACTAATTCAAAGAATTAAGACAAAATAGCTGACAGTTTGGAACTTTTAAAAAATTATTAAAGCCCACAGAGAATAATAAAGTATTAAAATGTTTAAAATAATCAAAAAGATTATATTTTTTTTTTAATAATAAATTTGTTTTATTGAATAACAACTTGTAGTGAAATTGATGGTGGGAAGAGATCTAGTGGAATTATCACCAGAAATAGAAAGATAAAAACAATGTCTTTAGGGTGATTTTTTTTTTCCGTTTTTTTCTCCATTTTTCATTTTTCCATATCAGAGTTGAGTGTCTTTGAAATCTTGACTCCTAATGTAATTGTGGGGAAATCTTTTAATTGAAAAATGAAAAAGAGAGAGAACAAATATTTATATCTTTGACATTTAAAAGTTTTTGTAATTACACAGCTGTACAGACCACTTGATGAAGAATATAAAGCAGAAAAATTGGCGAAAAAAACCCCAAGAACTACAATCATTCCTCAAAATCCTTTACCCACCTAAAAAAACATAAAAAAACTTGGGAACAACATTCAGGGCAGAGGAATCAGACCCAATGCAAAAGAGAATGAGGAATTTTAGATCTGTGTAATTGGATGTTGAGTTTCTTTAATTTTGAGCAAATGGAATCTATCTCTTTGAGAAACCGTCACAAGATGCCCGTCTTGTGCCAAAGGGAATCTTACTCACAGGTTTACTTACTTTTTTTTCTTTAAATTAATATCTTCATCTCTACTGTTGCTTTAGTTGTTTCAGTAATTTATTCATCAGCAAAAAATATATTATAACATTACTTTTTACCCCAACCTCCAGCCATTTTCATTGAATTCTTTTTTGGGGATGTCAACAACTGCACTTTAGTTTCAAATAGACGGGGTGATTGGAATTTTTTTTTATTTACTAATTATAAACATCTTTCTTATTAAGGACAAACCCAAATCGATTATGTTCAATTTTGTGTATACCCTACACTATGCAGAATATGTAAATGATCATGCAATCAATTCTGAGCAGACAAAAATGTTGCTTAACTTTGATAGTCAAGTAAGGAGTAATGCAACAAAATGCAACGGTCATAAACCGAAGTAAGTAGCATGGAGAATATAGACAGGCTATAAAAAAAATAATCAATATAATGGCAGAAGACAAAATAATTGGGGGGGGGGGGGCAGCATTAATCCCCCCCACCACCACAAAACTAGAGGGGAAAAAAATCACAGTAATATTTTCTATATTTAGAGGTAAAACTCCAAGATGCTTCAGATCCATTTTCCTTACCTAATGAAGATAGATTTGTCATATCAGTAATTTAGTTTTATTAAAATAAACACTTTCAATTGTTCTAAATTTAAGTTTTTATCATTATATTCTTTGCAGATTTTTTTTTTTTAATTATTAATGCAGCCAAAAGTTTTAAAAGCCAACACCCAAAATGTAACCAGAAGAGATAAAAAAAAAATAATTAAAACTGCATAAAATAATCATTTTTGAATAGTTTCAAATGTACATTAACTGAATCAATAACAAACACTAATAAAATGGTCAACTTTGAACCCAGAACCCAAGCAGGTTACCTAATCCAAATTAATAAGCAGATGACATCTTTGCCATTTTAGCAACATTGACTTTCTCCTCAAATTCAGCCTATTGATGTAAATTTTCAGGTTTCTATTTTCATACTCTCTAACATAATAAAACAAAAACAAAAAATCATAAAGATGAGGATATTAGTGCAAATAAACCAGTGAGTATAGATGTATAAATTAAAAAAAAGAAAATGATGTAGAGAGACAATGTTTTCTCACAAAGACTGTACAGAGAAACTGTGTATTTGCACACACTTTTCTTTTTGAGTGGGAAGAAACCGTCTGGCATTGACCATAATCCGCAAGAAGCAGAGTCAGAGATATTGATTCTAGAAAACATTTTGTGAAATCACAACAGAAAAGTTAGGCTCCAAACAGCTTTTGAGACCGCAAAGAGCAGACAAAGTAGTAATCAGGTTGGATTACTTGGTGGAAGAAAAACTGGCCATATAAAAATTCCTGAGAATTCCGTTTCTCTTATTTTTGTAACTGAAGATGTTCCATTGAATTTGTTGTAATGAACTTATTGTTATTTACTGTTTCCTTTTCAAAGTTCACACTTGCAACAAATTGGCTAAAATCAGAGATTTCTCTTCTGTGAGAAATTGGTAAATTACTTTTTCAATGGGTTCATTGCTACGAGAGATTTGTTTCTCCATTGTGGCACGGAAATCTTCTTTCACTCCTTTGTTTACTCCTCGAGTCACGGTACGCTGCCTAAAGAAATGAAGGGGGAAAAAAATAAAATGGTAAAAATAACAGGTAAAATCTTTTACATATAAAACATAAGCAGACATACATGTAAACATTTATTTTCTAAAGAATTAATGGATTTATTTTGAATCCACCATTTTTATTACTTCAAATGTTATTATAGGGAATACTTTGTATTTGAAATAGATGCTCCATTTTTAATTATTAAAATGTATGTATTATGTCTATTGACAAGAGCATTTGAGAAATCTTAGTAAAGAAAATATGTTCACTGGCAGGAATTAAACCTAAAGGAGGACATAGGTTCAATCCCTTCCCAGGAACGCATTTTCTTTACTAAGATTTCTTGAATAAATAGACAGAAAGATGTAATACACATTGATTTAATCAATAAAAATGTGGCATCTATTTCAAATACTATTATACATCCCTACAAAAAACACAAAACAATACTTAATCATAAAACATAACAACCTTTTGCTTTCTGTCCATTCTTACAAAAAATTGAAAAAATTTCATTCTAGACTCCATTTCCTCCACACACACATATGCAAATGTGTATATATATATATATATATATATATATATATATATATATGCATACATACATATGTATTACTTCAAACATTATTATAGTGGATTCTGGAGTCTTTTAGTGTCAGTGAATTGTGTGGCTAGCATGTTTTCACAATATGAGCCCAATCGAGCATTTATGAGGTGGAAAGTTCTATTCACATGCATCTACAAATATCAGGGAGTGGTAGACATCTATTAAAACATGAGGCAACATCTTTGCAGAAGACTTCTGACCACTTGTGGAATCTAAACTACATCAAATTGCAAATTCACCAAGCTAGAAGACTAGACATCCTCCTATAACTTTTGACATATCAATGTATATTGTCTCATCTGTATAATAAAATCAAGTGTTCATCTGACCAGCCACTACTACCAGTTTCATGCACACTAGACACACAATCATTATGTGGCCAGTTAGTAGTCTTTGGTGATATGGGTTGGTTGGTTGATTTTGTTTAGCCACATATCAACCTCTATGGTTTATTTAATGCTGAAATCTAAATATTTTCTATGCAATTTTATGGCTTCAACTAAATATATTTTGTACATTTCATACTTTCAGGGCAAATGCATATTTTTTTTTTTTTAGATTTATAGTTTGTCAATAAAATGTATTAATGGTAATTTTACTACAAAAATGTATTTTAATACTTTTTAAGTGATATATTGATTGTCATTTTGCTAAAATAATTTTTTTAATAAAAATGTATTGCTGGTAATTTCACTACAAAAATGTATTGTTGGTATATTTACTATAAAAAAGACATTTTGAATTTGTTTGTGGGCTGACTATTCTTCCATAGTTGGGACCATAACATTATTTACAAAAATTTACCACTGGTATTTTTTAGTAGAAATGAAATATTTTCAAATTTTTAAATATCTATTTGTAAAGTAGGAATACAAAGCCATGATGGATTATTTGATAAAAGATAACCTTTGTCTGAACAGAAAATCTACTCTCAAAAGATGTTAGTAATGATCCATTTTCTATTCTTACAAATAAGCATGCTTAGTAATAGTAAGTAATAATGATGATAAATGACTGGCCTAACATGACTATTACTACTAAATTTTGTCTTTTACTCTGAATAAAAATACATAAAGCCAGAAACAAATGAAATTAAAAAAAACAAAAAAACAAGGAAAGCAATAAACTATATGAAGACCATCTTCCTGAGTACTTACTGAGCCATCACTTTTGTGCTTATTGGTAGAATATCAAGGCTGACTTTGCCTCCTTCCTGGGTTTTGATGAATGCAAATTCCTCTAAAATATCTATATCTGGAAGTAAAGACTTAAGGAAGAATAACAATGAAAGAAATGTCTGAATACTTTTACTTTCCTGCTAAAATCATTAAGATATTATTGAAAATTAAGTCACCATTTCTGTCTGAATTTCTGGGATAAAAGAATCATCACTATTCACATTCAGACTAATGTCATCTTTGTTGCTATTATCACATTTTGGCTGTTGTACCTTCTGGTTTTCTTCAGGTGTCTGTCAATCCATGTAACCATTTTTTTTAATCTACACTTACCATGTGCCCTGTTTCTACTGAGTCTACTACCTGGTCCATGGATTGAACTCACAACTACTATATCACCAAATTTGCAAACAAATGCTTTAATCAACTAGGCTATTATCCCATTTGACAATCCTGAATTTAAAACTCAATGTTGTTCTTTTCTGTCTGCTGCTGACTGAATTCATCTGAAGAATGCCAGAGAGTACAAAAACTCTAAGAAAGAAAAAAGAAAATAATGGTTTGGTCATTTAGTACATTTGTCTGCATTCCTATTAATAACTAATATATAATAAGCTCAAATGGGTAGAAACAAATATAAACAAAACCATGACAAACACCAGAGTGCTTAACATCTCCCCAGAATATGACAAGGGCCTATCTATTTACCAAAAAAAAAAAAAAAAAAAAAAAAAAAAAAACACCTTCAAAATCTTATTAATTGTAGATATTCATCTGATTTGTACCAGGTTTTGCTAAGATTTACAAAACTGATTGGTATGTATAATGAGGTTTATATATTAAACTTTATCAGATAATTTCAAAATTAAAAGAAGGTCACATTGAAAAACATGCTTATAGATAAGTAATAAGCTAATACTTCTTATTTTGTTAATACTTCAATACCTTATATGATGCTTGTATTATGACCAATTATTGAGATTTTACAACTGAGTAGTTATCATGAAAAAATTCTATTTATAAAGTTTCAAAAATGCTGTCATTATTCTTTTTTATTCTGTTTGAGATTTTTGTATTAAATGGATAATGATTCTAACACTTCAGTTATATATTAAAATGGTTCACATTTATTCCAAATAACGATGAGAAAGAGAGATAACTTTAAAATAATCCTAAGTGTATTAATCGAGTTTCTTTGAAGTTTATAAAAAATGTTAGTTAATCATCATATGGTTTTGAAATTACAAAATGTACCCGAACTTGATATATGTGAACATTGTAACAGAATATTAATAATATATTGAAATTTTTTTATATTTTTGGTCATATTAAAATTTCATAAATTGAGTCATTAACAAACACTTTTTCCTAAAACAAAGGTTGCTAAAAGACTGCTCATTTAGAACTGAAAGACTTTGAAAAACAAAAAAAAATATATATATAAATAAAATGCAAAAGGATACTGATCACATAATTGAAGAAAATGTTGTAAGTAAACATTCTACGTGATTGGATCGCATGTATTGCCTTAGAAAAAGTTGAATAATGTTTGGGCCAATCATATTGAAGCAAAACAATCATGTGACCAAGAACAACATCCTCTGCATTAGCTTGAAAGGCCTTCTCCTGAAAATTAAAAATTTTTTTTTGAAATTATATATTCATCTTAATTACCCAAATAAATAAACATATGTTTTGCAATTACATTTTGGAAGGAAACAACATAGTTGCATGAGCTTGGTATTTATCAAGTATTAAAAATGTTAATGGAAAAATAACATCAAAATGGCTACAAAATATACTTTAAAACTAATTAATAATAATAACAACAAAGCATTCATTACTAAGAATGACTGGATGGAGAAATATTATTTTAAACAATATGAAAATATTCTAGAAATAGGAAATCTCACTTGAAGAACTATTTTCTACCTTCATAATCAAAATTTTGAATGTTGTAAATATAAGATGCTTAAATGAATATTAAATGCATTTCTTGAAAACATCATTCTATAGAACAGGAAGTTCTTATAATAAATGAGATGTTACTCAAAAGTTCTGTGAACTTAAGGTGCAAAATGGCTTTCTCAAAGAAATTAAAAAAAAAAGATATAAAATGAGATTTTTTGTTTTTTTAATTTACTGATAGCGATTTTAAGAACTGTATTAAATATCTGCTAAAACATAGAGAATGTTAAGTAGCTTGACAAATGAACAGATTAATGATATTGTTAAAATTTCCTAAATGTTTGAACAGCACCTCATCATATACACTAGGAAAAGGTTTTTACTGTGATGCAATACCTTAAAACAAGAGAGTAATAGTTGAATGCAATAGGAGAGAATCTCTGACTCTGAACAAACAGTCAGAAGCAGTTGGCGCCCAGATGAAGGTTTTTTGTTTTTGCTCTCTTTATCTGTCACAGCTGGAGTTGTTTTAGAGTCCATGTTAGAGAACTCAGTTAATGAACCAATCATATCCAGGATGAGCTCACAGGCTCTCTGAAAACAACCAATCAAATTTTAGTCATCAGATTGAATGATTAATAATATTTATATACAAAAATATTGCAGAAAAAATTCATATATTTTTTAAGTAACATAAATACAAAATTAATTACACACATACAAATAATTAATTTATCCCAAATAATAAAGTCATCTCTAATACTCTTTTATGCAATAGGAATTTGTTTTTCTTTCTAAATGTAAAATGATGATTCAAATAAACAGAATATTAATAAAGTCAAAAATATTGCAAGTAGTTACTTTTATTATAATTAATATCTTCATGAAAGTGTAAAGACCACATTGTACAGGGTGCAGCAGAAATAACTCCCACATAATGATAAGGCATTAGCTATATGAAAACACCATTGCCACTATTGTCTTACCATGTGGGAGGTATTTCTGTTGCATTCCCGTATTATGTGCAAATGGCTTAGTGCATCTGAACACTTTAGTGACCCAAACAGAAGTAAACTTATTTTTATATTCACTGCTGATCAGTAAATACTGAGAAAAAAAATCTCTAAATCATTACATTTAAATAAATCACACATATCAAGAAGTTTAATCCTAAACTTTTTCAACCAAACACTGACTTTTCTTCTTGAAATATCTTTCATATCAATGTATGAGAGATACTGAAAACTTCTTGGGCTTATGAAATACTACTTCAGAGAAAAAAAAAAATCTTATGCTTGGTCATTTGGTCAGACTTTAGGAAGTGGGTCAGACTGAGGACTTTGCAGTAACCCCTTACAGATCATCTGTGTGACAATTACTGGTATCATTAAAACTACAAGAGACTAGACCAATGATTTTTAACCAGGTTGTTATGATACCTTAGCATAGACAGAAGTCAAGGGTGTCACAAAGTTTTAAAATTTGAATAACAGATAGACAATTAAAATTCTCAAAAATGATATGACCAAATATTAATGATATCTTACTCAAATCTTGCATTAAAAAGAACTTTAGAGAAATCGTCACTTGAAGCGGTTTTATTTTATAATTATACAAATAACTAGTGCTAGTAGATTTAAATTATTTGTAAATAACACGGATGCATTATTACAAAAATGGCTCTTATAAAAAGGCAAATATTTTGGGACACATAATGAGGAAAGAAGGTTTGGAAAATTTATCACAAACAGGACATATCAAAGTCAAGAGATATAAAGGAAAGCAGCAAGTAACCAACTTGATAAGTTTGTGAAAATGGATAGAAGAACAATCATGACAAAAAAGGGTCATAAAAGAGAAAGTACTGCCTAGAGCAGGGGTTTTCAACCAGGGAGTAATCCCCCCAGGGGGTGGAATTCAAGGTTGGTTCCCATTATGTAGGGTAATCTTTTATATTTTTTTTTTTAGTTACGAAAATTGGAGCCCATCATTAGTGTCAAAAAATTAAAAAAATAAAAAATCTATAAAAATAATCCGTGAAAATGTATATGTACTAATATTTATCCACCTTTTGAGTTAGACACTTTTAAAAAGTGGGAGGAATCATATATGACATATGGTGAAAGGGTGCATTGGGCAAAAAAAATTTGAGAGCCACTGGCCTAGTGCATCAAAAGACAGGAAACTGTTTAGAGACATGATTGTCCATGTCCCGGAAGAGCATGTTCAATTCTCTCTTATTGATAGTGCATCACCATTTTACATTTGAACAAGAAGGAAGATCCCATAGTTAAAGCATGGCAACTAAAAGGTGATGATGCTATGCAAAAGTACTCTCTCAACAAACAATAACTTTTTTTTTGATTAGTAGTAAAAAATGGAATGAAATAATTAAAAAAAAATTTAAAAAATCATTAGATAAAAATAATATGACCAAATTATAACAACACTAGATATATAATTTTATAAGTAAAAAAGATTAACTTACTGGGTAATTTGAAAGACAATAGAAACAGGAGGCCAATTGTAAAGTGTTTCGTAACTGAAAAACAAATAATTTAAAGTTTTTCAAACATATGTGATATCATCTGGCATTTTATTGCTAACTAATAAACGGTAACTTTCTGCAAAACAGGCAATTCAACATTAAGTCATTAATCTACATCTTATTTTAAAGTTTTCATTTTTTTTATAAAATAAGCATGACAATAATAATCATTTTATGACATTTGTTAAACTAAGCTAACTTAGCCACAAAGGTTGATTCATGAAGTATTCACTAGTAACTGAAAGGTTAAACCAAATAAAAAATATTATTTGGTACACTTTAAGGGATTAAAAATGAAAAATTCATCATCGAACACATTTTAAATTCATGAATAAAATAAGTTTACAAAAGAATAGTTCACCTTACCATAAAAAAAAAATTGATGGCATTATTTAACTAATGTAGCAATTAGATATCTTCTACAGCCGTAATCTAGGATTTTTATCTGCACAAATACTTATTATTGTCACATACAAGAAAGATTTCTTTTCAAAAATTAAAAATTTGAAAGATTACACAAAAGAAACAAAAATCATTGTATTAGCAAATACATCTCTCCTATTTATTAATGCGATATTCCATTCTGATAGTAACACAATTCATGTTTGCTTATTGGTACTGAGGAATGTCTGGTTATTATAACAACAGAACATTTCATTATTAAGAAACAGTAATTAGATTGTGCCACATACAAAGTCACATTTTGTTCTATATTATAAAATAGAATATGCACCCAATTATATATATATATATATATATATATATATATGGGGAAGTGTTCAAAAAGTAATGAAATTTGTTTTATATAAAAAATAAGGAATGCAATCAAACATATTGTATATCCAGATATCGCTATACATCACAGATTAACATCCCTACTTTTCAACATAGTCATCAGCACTTTCAATGCCAATGTTCCACCTATGAATCAGGTCATATATCTCAACTTCATAAAACTCATCTGGCTGTGAATTTAGCCAATTCCTTGTAGCAGTTTTCACTTCTTCAACAGCAACAGGAAACCCCTTCACTACCTTTCATAACAGGCATGACAATGCAGTGTGTGTGTGTGTGTGTGTATATATATATATATATGTAACTGCTAAGGGAGTCTGCTACAGAGGCACACTAGAGAAAGAGAACTCAATGCCATATTAACTGGCAGAACCTTAATATTTCTATGCAGAAGATGATTGCATGAAACTTAGATGTTGTTGACCAATGTTCATGGAAACTGATTTAGAAATACATATAAAGCTTAAATATTTACCTGCATCTTTTCTGTCATTCCAACACGGAAATTTTGCAAGTGACCTACTGCTTCTTGAAAAAGGCCCTGAAAGAAAGAAAAAAAAAATGAAAGCAGCCCAGGTTACCCCAAGAAAATGGAGGCTTATTAAAAAAACAAAAATATTTCAAAATAACTTTCAGCAAAACATGCCAGTCATGCCAGTAAAAGAACATTTGTATTCAATGAAATAATTTGACTTTTTAAATTAATAAAATAAAATGCAAAAATAATAATTATTTTTGAGAAAATTGTTGATAATCTGGAGCTGTATAATTCTGGCATATCTGTCAAATGTTCTTAGGACTGCTTTTTAGAGAAGAATAAATGAAAAAATAAAGAGTAGGCAGACACTAAGGAAACAAAAAAACATACTGAAGAAATAAAAGACATATGATTGCAGCTTCAACAGTGTCATTTGAGCAACAGTTATTAAGTTGAAGTTTCAAATGCATAATAATTGTGGTACAGTAGCAGAATAATAGTATACAATAATAGTGCTGGGGTACCGAGGAGACTGGCAGTGACCTTTATTGAAATATGGAACTAATTAATATCAAAAATTCATTTTTTACCTGATATATAAACATATCCGTCTGAAAATGTCCCATCCAAGACCATGTCTCAGACCTCCAGTTTTGACAGAGTTTGATGAAATCTGAAACAAAGAAAAGTATATTGTTACACAAAAACATCCAACTCACAACTCTTTGGGTCAAGTCACTTTCTGGATTACTCAACCAACACTTTTATCGATGTAGAATTAGAACAATCTATCCCCATGGACTAAATAATGGTTTTGGTCCAAAGCTCCAACATATGTTACCTGAAGAAAGCTAGAGTGTACAACATTGTGAATATGGCAATAAAGATGAAGACAACAGTCCAAATGATGTAAATAGTTACAATACCTGATCTCAGAAATATAGACAAAAACATCCAAATTCAATTATTATGTTCAGAAAATGAGTAAAGATTATTTTAAAAATATAAATAAAAGGAAAATAAATAAGATGAGGAGTTAGCTTTCATATACATTGCTCTATCTTGACAAGTGTCCAAATCTCAGTTGTTCTAGTCACAATATTTGTCCATTGTACTCTCCTGGTTTCTTGAAGTTTTTGTTGTATTCAGCAACTTTCTCAGAATTTCAGTCAAGTCTTTATTTCACCCAGAAGGATAAATTGTTTTCATTCCATTGTCCATGCTAGGAGGGATTTTGTGTCAAAGCTTAGCTAATTTCTAGTATCAAGAAGTATCTGAACCAATATATCCCCCACCCCCTTGTGGACAATGAGATCAATTTACCCCTGTTGACTGAATAAAGTGTTCAGTTCAAAATGAATACAACAGACTCCTACAATAGCCAAATTGTTGTGACCATATCAAAAGCAAGAATGAATAGATCTATGAATACTTAACCTTTAGCACATTGCATTATTCATAAGAGTATTACTTCCCCTTTTACTGCATATTTTTTTTGAGGTTGCTCTGTTGTTGATTTTACTTGAGATAAGTTTTTGCTGCTGCCATAGCAGGATATGAAAACACAACAATGAAACATTATTTTTCAGTAATAAGTTGGCAGAACAAACATTTTGCTTGATAAAAAAGTCAACTTTAGAGTGCTAAAGGTTAAAAAAATAAGGATTTGCTCCTTCAAAGAAATTAGACAACTTTCAAATAATCGAGAATAAAGCGTAATTGACTGATTGTTTCATTTTCCTTGGCTTATCAACCCTTTGTAGATTATTTAAAGCCCAAAAATATTTTTAGATTGGAAAAATTTTTTTTGAGATAATAATAATCTACTGATACAAGTCTTACTAATTAACCCATAGTTGGGAAGAGAAGAGGTGGATTCATAACTTTCCCAAGGGTATTTACCCTAAGTGAATATAACAAACTCAATGGGAATTGGAACTTGGTTCTCAGAGTAACAATTTCAAGCCATTACCCATTACACCAGATGCACAACAAAGCTTACATCACCTGGTATTCCCAAGCAGTCACTTATCTAGCTACTGACCAACCTTGATGTTGCTTAACTTTAGTGATCATACATGAAGCAGTGTTTCAATGTGATATGGCTGTAAGCCAAAGCATGATGGAGTATATTAGAAACCTACAATCTATTCTTATGCTTGCCTATAGAATGATTGATTTATTTGTTTGTTTCTTGTGCTTGGCACTTTCTGATACATTTTCATCTGCCATCGCCAACAATGTATTTATTCGCAGTGAATATTTTTTAGTGTGAAAACAATGTTAAAATTTCAGTTGAAGCTATAAATCAACTCAAAAATTTTTTATTGTCTAAGTTGGCTATTATAAAGTTGGCATTTGAAGTCAGATTTCATAATTTCTGGTAGAATTCTTTAACACATTGGCTGTTTTTATTATGACACAATTACAAGTTAGCTCATACTTGGCATTTTCTAATACATTTCCATCTGAAGGCACCAACAAAGAGTTTATTTGCAATGATACATTTAGTATAAAAACAATGTTAAAACTTCAGTTGAAGCTAGAAATCAACTCAAAAACTTTTTATTGCCTAAGTTGGCTATTATAAAATGACTCCTATGTAAATTATAAGCCCACAATCAAATCATGTTAGGTATTGTTGCCATAACAAGTTTTGTATTGGGTGGAGTTGCTAGCCCCAATGTTCAACAATTCAGAATTGTCCTTCTCCTTTACAGGATAAATTGGGCTCTTTAACTTTGATTGGCAACCAGTCTTAAAAGAGAAATTCTGAATTCAGAACTGGTTGGACATTAAGGCTAGCAACTACACCCAATACAAAACTTGTTATGGCAACAATACCTAGTATGATTTACATGGGAGTCTACAGGGCTAGCATACAACATACAAACAGAAGTTAACCATAAAATTAAGGTAAACAAATATAAAAAAAATTCCTTTGGAATTCAGTTTCTTACATTGGATTCTTCTAGCAATGATGAAAATGTATATGCAATTATAGATTAAATAAGTGGCCTCATTTGTAGGATTTACAGTATGCATTGTAAATCCTTATTGCAATTATGGAACATACTATTTCAGTTTGTGTTTGTGCCAAAAACTTGAACAGATGAAGTAGTAATGGATTAGATAAATACTATACTTTTTAAAAGACTATCATTTTCCACTTTATATTGTTCTATGTGCAGGTGGTGCAATGGATAGTGGCTCAGAATTAGAAATTAAAAAGCCAAGGTGAGAAGGATATTTGTGTGAAAGTGAATGCAATGACCTTTGTCTGTAATTTTGAACTCCACACACAAATCCTACTTTTCATGTTGATAACTGCTACACTACGCACACATCCAAACTTCAGTTTAAGTAAATGTAAAATAGGAATTGGCATCATTTCAGATACACAATTGCAGCATTTTGAATGCAAGATTTCTTGTTTTAGTGCTTACCTCTTTGTAACAGATCATCTGAATGTAATAATTCATAACATTTGAGGGCTGTTGTGAAATTGTTGATGATTGATTGTGAATCTTGAATTTGAGAATTGGCTGTGATGTGAGGACAAGATGGCTGCATGTCTGGACGTAGTTTCTTTGACTTGACACTGTATTGGAAACAAAAACAATCGTATAATCCAGTATTCACAGAATTACTTTCAAGCTGTAAGGTCAACATTTGACTTATGCTATACAAAAGAAATAGTCTTGTTAAAATATTCTTGGACTTTTGATATGGAGAGTGAGTGGCCATGGTTAAATGTAAATAAATAGCAGAACTGCCCAACAAACAGAATTGACAAAGTTTGTAATAAATGATAACAAAAAAAAAAAAAAAGTGAAAAGAACAGGACAAAAAATAATATAAAAGCAAGCAAACAATATATGCAAGGCAAATTAACAGTAATATGGCAAAGCAACAGATATGACAAAAAGGTCACAAACTAAGAACTGGGGCTGACATGCAAGAACAAATCTGAATGAACAAACATGGCGTTCTGACATCAAGGCAAGACAGACTGGGACTGAATCACATGACACCAATAAGTGGCTTTTATTATTGGCTAAGAAGAAATCCCAGCATGCATTTGTGTGCTTCTGGCTATAAATTGAGGAAGGGAAAGTATTTTGTAATCATTCCCAATGGGATCAGGGCATTTCGATGTGGTGTAATGGTTAGCAAGCTTGTCTTGCTAGATCAATTATGACAGAGTAGTGAGTTCAATCTTCACTGGATGCTCCACTTTCGGCCTTGTGCCATATCTAAGCTACAGTTAGAAAATTGCCATTCCCAATGAGACTTGAACTAACACCAAAATAAGAATAAAGTATACATAATAAAGCAAAACATTTTATATGTCAAAAAACTTTATTAATAATTCAAATACATTTTGTTTTCAACAAATGAGGTATTGCTACTGATAAAACAATTCCTTTAAGATTTAAAACTCAATTCCTTTTTTGTAACTATTCAATATATCAAGGATTGACAACCAGATGAGATTATGTCCAAATTATTTAAGACATATTAAATGGGACATTGTCAGTCTTGTGAACAGATATTTGGGTGATAGACCTGCACATTTTATAATGATCTTAAATAGTCTCTTCCATAGACATAGACACATCAGGCAAACATAGCACAAGAGAACACAAAATATTTAATGAACCGTAGTTTGACAAAAATGAACATTTGTTGTCATGCTTTGATATATTTCTCAAAAATAAAAAAGACTGAATACTGACTTTGGAAATTAAACATTTTTCTTGTGATATGTTATTATCTAAAGTCAAAAGAGAAATTTCTTGCAACTTACTCTGTGTTTGATCGATCTGTTTTAAAGCCTTCAATGAGAACTAAAGGGGATTGAAGACCAGATGTAGATGAACCTGAAAATGAAAAACAAAGTTGAATTTTATATACCAGCAAACAATAGATTAAACCTGTTTACAATATAAGAATAACATTGTTGTTTTTTTTAATATTTGCAGATTAATGAAAACTATATAAAAGTTTTATGTCCCATAAAAAATATTACATTTAGTGTATAAAATAGGTTTGATAAAATTATTGGGAGTAATCTCCCTTTGTTTTATGATTACCTCCCTTTAGAGAACTATTTTATTTGTAGAGGACTATAAATAGTCACTATGCTGGTATCAGTTATCAAAAAATTGTTCTTATTGTAGATCATAAGTTTAGGGTATAATTTTTTTGTAATTTTTTCATGCAATAAAGAACTTTCACCTTTTCCTTAAAGGAAGCATTTTAAGATTTCAATTTGGCATATCCAAAGTGTCAGCATCACTATTCTTGTGGTTTGAGGCCATTAAGTAAAAGTTATGAATTGTTTAATTCTGGGGTTGAGTACAGGTAAAAGGAAAGTAGATGAGGAAGAAGTGGGGAGGACCATTGTAATTAACCTTGGAACTTATGTGATCCATTACTTCAAATTAGATAATTGTTTTAGGGTTTCATTTCCTCAACCCATAATCTAAGACACAAACTAATTTTAAAAAATGTATCACTTACTGATTGCAAAAATGTCTGTATCAATGCAACTGATATATGAATAGAGGCAGTCAAGGAAGATGACTGTAGTCATGTACAACATTTGATGAGAATTCGATTCTTGGTTTGTCTGACTGACTCGTTGGTACATGACTAAAATTTGTTGCCACTGGTAATCTCTGAAACAGTACAAATATAGATCAAGTTTTATGAAGGATATTTGATAAAGTCATTTTTAATGCTTCAAAATTAGGTAACACTTGGTTGAAACAATTTTATTATAGATAAATAAGTTGTAAATTGGAAATTAATCTTTAAATATCAAGTTTTATCTTTTCTGAAAATTATTTACACTATTATTTATACTTGTGAATATTAAAGATTTAATATTGTAAATGGTGGCTATGCATATTTATTTTATCATTCCCTCTATATTGTTTCCTTCATTTTCCTATTTTGCTTTCTTCACTGCATCTACAATACCATTTGTCTTAACTACAAACATCGTAACTGATTGCCTCTGAATTATCATAATAATAATAGCTTATTTTCAAACAAATTCTAGTAGAACAAGAACAAATTTATAAAAGTGAGATTAGCATTAAATAACTATTTCCAAAAACTAACATTTCAATTTCAGCAGTTGTATTTCTTTCCGGGTAGTTCCTTAATTTTTTTACAGTTTTTATAATTTGTCAATCAGTTTTGAAGAAGTTACAACTTACTGTATATACTGTGTATAAGCCAACTTCATGTATAGTGTGACCTCTAAAATCTATCTATGTATAGTGCAAATGGTCACTGAAAATCCATTATTTTTAACCACTTCAAAAAAAAAATTGCCTGTGTATAATGTGACTCCCTATTTTTTTTCATATAAAAAAACTAATCATAAAAACTTGCATTTTACTTAAGTATATATGGTATGTCTTGATGAGTTTTTAGTCCAACAATTTTTTAATGCAGCATGCCAAAATTGAATTTAAAATTTTTGTATAAACCACTAAAACATTTCTACAATTTTCATACAAAATATCATAAATAATAATGAAGAGAGTGACCTTTGTTGTCTGGTTCTTTGTTTCTCAGTCCATAATTTTTGTTATATAAAAAGCAAACAGATAGATAAAAATTAATGAGTGAATTCTACCCTGATTTGAACACTCAATCTGGAGATATGCAGACAAGTGACACATCCGCTACACCAGCATCCTGCTTCTTCAGTGGAACAGTAAATTTAACTTACAAATAGTAAAGTAGGCACTGCATAGAGATTTGAGGCAGAAATGCCAATCCATATATAATCCTGTCATTTTTTACAGGTATTATGCAAGTAAAAAATATAATCTGAGTGCATATAAAAAAAAAAAAAAATCATACAATTAATGATTTCTGACAGTCACTGTCATGGTTACACCCAATCATGTTGTTTACAATCATCAATAACCCTCCACCCATAGATCTTTCTATCCTGAAATGGAAGACTGACAGTTGAAATGACAAAATGACTATTGCTTTCTTATTATGAATGTACTGTTAAAAAAAAAAATTAAAACAATTGTCTGATGTAGTACCACCAAGTGTGCATTCACCATGGATAGCAAGAACCTAAAAGCTAAAATTGACTGACCTTGGTTTGGTGAAGAAGTCTGTGTCGATGTCCCAATTAAGTAAAGTTGCAATGTGTTGGATGAGTTTAAAAAGGCTGCCCCAAGGATCAGAAACTTGACTCTCTTTTTCTTGTAAACCAGCAATTGATGGATACTTTTTAATCATTACTTTCTTGGTAGGGGACATCATATCTAGCAAAATACGAACAAATAAATACAGAAATCAAATACTATTATTGTGAATGTGTAAACATATAAGAACAAAGTTAAAATTCAATTTTCTTTTAATATTTTTACCAGGATATATTATAATGTGCAAACATTAAGCAAATTCAGCAATTTTATTCTTTCTTTTTAAGCGAAGGTTTATTCTTATAATGAATAATACTGTTAAAAAAAACAAACAAAACATGCTAAAATAATAGAGGGTATTACAAATAATTTAGAACAAATTATTAAGAAAAAAAGATATTATTGAGAAAAAAGAAAATCAGTACAGACACAAAAAGAAAATGAAGATTATACAATGAAAACCACCCTGAGTCTCAAAGACAGCCCTGATGCAACCTTGGAAGTCACTGCATGCCTGGATTAGGTGGCTTAGTCATGTTGGTCATCATTTCCATGGTGGGGGCTGTCAGGAAGTCAGTGGTATTGTGGTACCAGTGGTTGAATGTTTCTTTCAATGATGCCTCAGACATAGGAGCCTAAGAGATTCAAATAAAAAAACTAGGAGCCCAGATGTTAGGGGGAACATGATCATAAAAATTCTAGGTTAGAGCTCATACAGCAGGAAGCAAAATGTTGATGGAACAAATATGGTCAGCCCTTGATCCAGAGCTTGAACACTGTGTCCAGCCACCTCTATATAGGCAGGTGTACTGACCATGAGGTCCTGCAGTAAGAAGTGGGACAACATGATATGGCACTCTTTCTCACAATCCCAAGGATCAAAGATGATTTACACCTGATGTAAATCACCAGGAGTGTACATCTTTGGAGTCTTCACAGAGCCACCCGACATTCCTCCTGTTCATCTGTCCACTTTCAAGAAGATTATTATTGTCTAGTCTCTTTGGTTGGCAGCTAGTTTGCACCCTTTTATTTCCAGTGTCAAATTGAAAATGTTTAATTTTATTTTGTATACCTAATACTTATATTGTTAATGCTGGAAGTTAGTATGTTAATACTTTCAATACATCTGAGAGAGAAATGAAAATGTGAATTGCCACACAATACAAATAATCTTTATTGATTTTCCATTAAAGATGTGTTTTCAAATACCTGGTGTATGCTATATTTTTATCAATTTATAATACTTTTATAGAAAGAAAAGAGTTAAATCTGTTTGGTAATGAAAATCCTCTTTCCTTGATAAAGATCAAATTTTATATACACACACACAAGGTCAACACCAAGATGTAACAGATTGTTACCACCCAATATTGACTTTTATATTTACACATGCACTATCTTTAAAATTATATATATATATACACACACTTTCAGCAGAGGAGGGGCATATTCAAAATTTGATAATTTTGCTGCAATACACACTTAAAGGTTTTAGGTAGTTTTGATCAACATTTCCTTTCATGGTTAGCCGTAAGGAATTGTAAATGTAGGACTACCTTATACTTTAGTAAAATAACAATAATATTTATTCAGAATTTTTTTTACAGGAAATATCAAGTTTTGTGGAAAAATTGTTGACAATTATATTTAGTTACATAACAAATAAATAAAAATAATATAAATTTTGATGTTGTCAGATATTTTTCATTTTCTCCCTTGTTAATGGCAGCATTTTAGAATACTTTGGCTGCAATGCTAAGTTTCCTAAATTGAACAAACTGGAATTATTTCATTTACGCTTTGTTACCTCTCTTTTCTATTGTTGTTTTTAGATTGCTTTCTTCCAGTCATTTTGAAGGGCAATAGTGAAATTCTGAAATTTAGAATGATCTTATTTCATTTAAAAAATAAAGCCTGTAAAAAGGAATATTGTTATGACCAAAAATAAAATGCTTTTGACAAAAAACCTTAATGATTTCTCTATATTTATGTAACAATTCAATGTAATGATATTCTGCAGACATATCTATGGTTTATGTTATCTCATCTCATTGCATGGTTACAAATTAAAAACCTAAATTGACCTTGAAATTTTGTGCAATCAGCTCTAATTTTTGTAAAATACTTTAATAATTTGCAATGAAAATGCAATTTTGATTTTTTGTTGAATACACCCCTCCTTTGCCAACCGTGTCATTTCAATTAAAATTAGCTACTCCTGCACTAACAACATGTACCAAATTATCAACTCCCATAATAAATATGTCTTAAGTAAATTATATGGGAAAAAAACTAAATCTAGTACAGAACACCCCTGTAATTGTAGAGATAGAGAAAACTGTCCAGTTAAGGGCAAATGCAGATCCAATAGGGTAATATACCAACCAACCATTGCCCCCAAAGAAAATATGACAAATTATAATGTTTACATTGGAATTTCCACAGGAGAATTAACACAGGGAATTTATACCCATAAGCACTCATTTACCAATCCTAAAATAAAATTCCAAACAACCCTTTCAAAGAAATTTTGGGAATTGAAGGAAAAGTTGTCTAAACCTGCAGATAGATTGGAAAATTATAGGTTTCACACATACCCCTAATAGCTTTAGAGATAGATACAAGTTAAGTTTAGAGGGAAAAATTAGAATAATTAAATACAATGATCAATGCAAACTATTAAATCAAAGGAGAAAGCTTGTATTAAAATGTAGTCATAGAAGCAGATTCAAGCTTATATAAGAATATAGATCTTACCTTATCACTCAGTAACAACCAAAAACAACAGCCCCCCCCCAATTGATGCAAGCCCCTCAGATTAAATTTTTACTTTAATATCTTCCTCTTAAAGAATTTTCAGTACAGCCCAGTATTCCTAATAATATAACTGAACATTAATGGTGGAAATGGATGGTGTGTGTGTGTATATATATATATATATATGTATGTATGTGTGTGTGTGTGGGGGGTAAATATATGTATGTGTATGTAGATATATAGGTATGTATATGTGTTGCATGACATGATTTATTCCATTGGGCATCTTGGTTTTACTTACAGATTTTGGGAATCTATTACTTAGATAATTTATTCTAATTTTAAATTGTCTTGTCTTTAAATCCCCCACCACTTAATAATATAATCTACTAGCAAGTACCTAAATTCATTTGCATACAACTGAAGGCTTTGGTCATAAATAAACTCCCACGCCGGCTCATCTCCTTGTCAGCAACCCAGACTCCTTATCAAAACGAGGCGTCCCCTTAAGTAGCCCCATACATTTTCACTGACTGCTATCTAAACTAAATTCAAAACCCCCATTCCGAGACAGTCAGTCTAGGGCTGAGGAAGACTGGCATAAGGCAGTGCTGGTCTGAAATAGACTATACCCACAGGAGATAATCTGGGATTTTTTGCTGTATAAAATATATGCTCCGTTATAATAAATACATTGAGCTCTCTTTTGTGGATCAGTTTTAATATCTGATATTAGTAGGATCCACCTGGATTATATACCAATGGATCTATTATCTGTATTATATATATATATATATATATATATATATATATATATATATATTGCATACACTACCTTTTAACACTATGTATTATTTCCTCTTTCCACTGCAGTACCCTGTAGTTAATTTCAGTCTAGATTATTTTCTGTTGTTATAGAAGGTTATGACAACACAACTGATAAGAAATTCAGACATTATCAATCATATTGATAGCAAGAAAAGTCATCTGCAACTTTTTGCTTGGTGAACAAAGTCATCTACAGAGTACAAGCAATTAGCCTATGTAAGTAAAATGTCTAAAGGTTTACTTACCCTAATATTAGTATTACAGAAGTATGTTTAATGAACTCTTATTGGTATCCCAGCCATAGAAAGTAAAAAACAGTCAAATGATGAGAACGTTTTTAATAAAACAATAAACTCTAAGAAAAACATCCTCAATCTGCACACGTTGTACATATTGAAATAAACTGTAATGAAATTTATAGAAAAATACAATCAAAAATATCACAAAACTACTGGATAAATATAATTGTCAAGATTCAAAATTGTAAGTTATCTTGCCACCACATATAGAGGACATAATATATTTTTAATGTGCTATAACTGTAAGAAGAATAATAATTTAATTATTCCATTTGAACTTGAAAAATAGTCAATAACTGTTATCTTTTAAGATATAAAAAAACACTTCCTTTAAATGAATACAGTATTTACAGCAAGTCTAACAACATTAGGTCAGGGTCCCTTACCTGCAGAGGCTGGAGTTGCTTGTTCACTTTGACTTGGTGGCTGCGTGACATACGTAATACTGAATTCAATGGCCTTTTGAAGCCAAAGATAAAGGTCTGTGGGTGGAATGACTACACGACATTTCTGTAGTACCAGTGGAAGTACATCACACACTGAAAGAAATAAAACCCAAAATTATTTTAGTTTAAGAGTAACTTTTTTAGATCACATTATATATCTTGGTCCCTTTCTAAGGATTTTAGCATTAACAGTCAACTTGAACTTGTAGAAAATGAATACAAAAGGACACACAAAAAAAATCCCAAGAGCAGATTTTAAATAAAAATTAATTCAAAATAGATTTGTTACTGAATATTTTCCATAATTCCTAGTGAACAAGATTATTAGAAAAAGTTGAACTTTATTTTTTTTTCCTTAAGTTAAACTGTTAAATTTGTTTCAGTATAGTGAATTATACTGTATAAGTCATGTTTATCAATTGTCACTTAAGCTATCAATATTTGAAATTTGATGGAAAAGTATTTACTCACTAAAATTGCAGAAAAAAATGAAGGTGAAGATCAAATAGAGTGAATTTTGTTGAGGACTCAAGCACTGAAGACATTTTCTTTATATATATATATATTCAGGCTTTTTGTAGCTTTGTATAGATCTTTTTTTATAGAGTATATAGAGTACAATTCTAACAACAGTTAAAGAATAATTGCACATTACATCATTTTAAATTCAAAAAAGCATACAATAGAAGACAATCTATATTCCTTTCTCCATGTCAATATATTTAATAGAAAGAATAAAAATGTTTCTGTGGGGAACTCAAAAAACAAGACAGATTAGTGTAAAAAAATAAATAAATAAAAATCATGGTGAAATGCAGTAAAGTACAAAAGTAGAGGGGGGGAGGGAGAGCGAGAGAGAGAGTGACTTACCAAGTAGTTTTCGGTAGCAGTTGACTGGCGAATACACTGTTGTAACACCTTCGGAGAATATCAATGTTTCTATCAACTTTAGCTGAAGTAACCAAAAAGTAAGAGTAACAAAACACTAAAATTTCTTGCAAGTTTCAACTAAAGTAAGAAAAGTATTTAGTTATTTTTCCATGAGAAAAACATGGTAAATGTATTCAAATGTTAAAATCATAATTCTGTTTTCTCCTTAGCATGTGCAATATGCCCTGCCAATACTTCATAGATAAAAGACTATTTCATTTTGATTGGAAGAAAAGACATATTAGAGATGCTGTCTGGTTTCAGTAAGAAAGAGAGAGAAGATAGAGGAGGTGATAAGACTTTCAAGCGCTTGTCAATTTCAAATCTTTTCATTTATATTCTCTTACTTTAAATAATGTCCTGCATTCATATTTACCATTGTTTATAGCAAATTTGAACAAGAGTACACATTTTTCTATTCAATGTCAAAACTCTGCCATCTTATTGCTTATCCCTACTATAGTATTTACATTTAATATTATTGTATTATGGGTAAAAATACTGGTATTCCATTGTGCCTAAGCAACAAAAAAAAATAATCTATCAGATATATGAATCCTGATGTATATTTTTGAGTCATTTAAATATGCTGTGTCAAATTGACTGGTGGGGCTACAAGAAAAATAGGATGATTCATTACATAAACAGATGAGTAAATAATGACACCAGCAGTGAAAGATATGTTATTTGCTCAGTTCCTTCCTTTTTTTATATATAAATTTTTTAAAATAAATAAAATTTTTTTAAAAAAATGATAAAATTACCCAAAATAAACTCAGGGCTGCAGAAAATTTATTATGAGCATGGCTAGATGCAAGTTGAACTTACCCCTTGTTCTGTAACTAAATTTGGAAATTTTCTCATTGCCAATAGTAAAAGCCGACACTGCTCTAAGATGTCATTAATCTTATTAGCCATACACAAAAGCATTCGGCATTGTGTATTTGTGGGCACAGCAGCAAAAATATCTGCAAAAGCAGAAATAACAATGAATAAATAAGTGAACAAAAAATGTATTTTTCATCATCATTAGCTATGTGCAGATGGAAGGATGCTGTGAAATAAACTTAAAAAAAAAAATAGAGGAAAATAAGTGACATGTAATAATGTATTATTATTTTGACTTATCAGGTACAAAAGTCTGAGTATACAATGCAAAATCTGGCAAGCCCACCTTCTACTTCAAGGCTACAAAATTCATTCTTTTCTCTACTGAACTCCTTAATAAACTTTTATGCTTTTCAATGATTGCATTTTCAACAACATAATAAAAAAAGGAAGATGAACATGGCCAAGTAACCACCATTGATTTCCTAAAAACCTTGAAGAATCCACCTAGCATTGTACCCTGCCAGGTATAAGAGAATTTAATTTTTTTTATGATCAAATGTAAAACATTTCAGAAACACAACCAATTTTATTGCAGTTTTTTTTTTTGCTTTTTAATCTCATTCCTTTAATAAGACTTGGTATTAGTTTTGCTCTTACAAAAACTGTGAACAAGTTATGTACACCACAGTAAAAAAAAAGTTTGAGGTCACCCTGCATTTCTTTAATAAAAAAAAAACATCTTAAAATTTTTGTATTTTTTAAAGTAAAAGATAAAATGTCATTACCTACAGTGTATTTGCTTTTACTTTGAAAAAATATGTCTTTAACTATAAAAAATGATCACACAACAGCATCATATTTTGTTTGCATCAATAAAACCACCACCTGCCTTAATTACTGCTTTATACATTCTGGGCATTCTTTCCAATAGTTTTTGGAGAAAAAAAAGTAGATAGCAGACCTTCCTAAGCATTCTTCAAGCACTGAAAAAGCTGACTCCAACTCTTTGGATATGCTCTTCAAACTCTCCTATCAATGGGAGAGAGAGGTTAGGAAATTGAGGTGGCTAGGCCATAATTTCCAAAATTTTATCCCTTTGGGGGGGGGGCTTGAGGTAATTGACATAATTTAGATGAATGTTTTGGATCATTGTCTTGTTGAAAGGTGAAGTCAGATGGTATAGCATGTCTTTGCAAATTCAAATGATATTGTTCTTTTTTCATGATTCCCAGTTCTTTTGTTATTTGAAAACATCTATTGAGAGGTTTAATGGTGAAAACAAAAGGTAATGTTTCCTATACAAAATATTTTTAATTTAGTATTGTGAACAGATGAATCCAAATTTAAACTTTTTGGTAGTAAGAGGACCTTGGAGAAAGACTGAGAAATAAAAGCAACTACACTGTAGTTACTGAAATTTTATTTTTTACTTTAAAAAATACAAAAAGGTTTAAGGTTTTTTTGTTTTTTTTAATGCAGAATGGCCCCAAACTTGCCTGTAGTATAGGTACATCAATAAATCCATAACTTAATTATTAAAAAAGCATTTATTATACACAACAGAAATTTATCTCACATAATGTTCTTCCTTGTCAATGCTCTTAACACAGTGGTAAATATTTATCAGATAGATCAAACATTATACAATTAAAATTTAGTTAAGAACTATGAATCAGGCTACATACTTATTGATCCATTATCATACATTATTGTACATTGCTATACAATCTCCTTAAGGAAAACAATGGAGGATTAATACCATCCATTTGAAATGTTCAGTTATTACTGTGAACAGCATAAAGATGTCTCATTAATATGTAGAGATCAGCTTTCTTTGTATATATTTTACTTTTGAGGATTTAAAAAGAATTCTTTCATACATGCAACAATAGGGTTAAGTGTAGAAATTAATTTCCTAGATTAAGCATCCAGAAAATATAACCAATACAAATTTACTTAAGTATTGCCATCGTTTTTGACAGCAGAGGTAAACCAGTTTAGAGATAACACAAAGACATTTAAAATTGAATAAATGATCCAGAATTTCTTATTAGAAATTAAACAGGTCAAAATATTTTTTTGTTGAACACTTTACAAAATACCTGTAAGTAACTGAGATTTAGAGTCCAAAGAGTCTGACTGCATTGCTTCCAGCATGGATTGCAGTTCCGCCCATAGTTTAGGCTCATGTGGAAAATTCTGGAACCTGCAGTAAAAAATTAAACAAAAAATAAACTTAAGATAAACACTTAAGCAGAGAATGCTGCTAGAATTAACCTTCACCTCCATCAGTCTACTAATAAAACAAGTGAATAATATTCATTAGTCAAAAGAAAACAGATAATGCTAATATATAGGGTGCAGTGGATAAGTTGTCTAAATTACGCAAAAATGAAAATAACACTGACATCTCATTTTAACAGATATATTTACCAAAATTACAAAAATATCTTGAAATACTAAAGAGTAAATTTATTCAATAAAATCATCATTAGCTTCAATTACGACCTCCATGTGAGTTTGGAATTTCCTGAAACTCTTCTGGATGGTCTTGTTGTTTAAGTTGGTGAATGCTACCATAATCCTTGCTTCCATGTTATTTTTGCTGTTACAAGGAGTTTTGTTGGTCGCTCACTCAACTACACCCCACACATAACAATCAAGAGGGTTGAAGTCTGGGGAGCTAGGTGGCCAGATGTAAGGAGTGATGTGGTCACAGAAATTGTCTGACAGCCATGACTGGGTTCACCTGCTTATGCGGCATAGTGCAGAGTCCTGTTGCTAGACATAGGGTCTTCCAGCAGCCACCCTCTTGACCCAGGGCAGCACTACTTCCTCAAGGCACTTGATGTAGGCCCCCTTGTTTAGTCTGAGGCCCTGTGGAAAGATGAATGGAAGCATAACATCACCATCACTAGTGATCACTCCAAACACCATGATGATATCATCCAACTGTTTCTGACTATCCTCAGATTGATACCCAAACACTTTGAAATGTTCGTATTTGAGCTTCCAGTACAAGTACCAATTTATATACTTTTTATTATTTTATTTATAAATTTCATATATCTGTTTTTATTTAATTTTTCTTTGGCTCTAAATTTTAGTATTTGGAATAAAGTTTTAGTCTTATTGGTCTTGATGTGGTTTTAGGTAGTATAGTAGGAACTTGTTTTTGTGTCTAAACACTATTTCCAACAGTGAGCTCTCTTCCCCTATAAATGCAGAAAACTTTAAACATGATATATATGATTACAATCCTCAAATTTGATATGAATACTTATTGAATCCAGTGAAAGTTTTTGCCAAAAAAATTGTTTATGAGAAATAAAGTGGAACTCTACTTCTTTTCTGCTATATGGATTTAATTTTCATTAATACTTATAGTTGGGGGTAAGATTATAATTTCTTTTTTTATTAATAACTAGCTTAAACGATACCCTATTAGGTGGCATTTAGTTAACTCCTACAGAGAGCTCTTGATTGGGCTTTTGGCTTGTTCAGGAGTTTGGGAGTCCTAAGTCTTTCCATATTCTCAGCATTGGAAGCTCTCCTGGCTGCCATTTGAGCTGAGTTTTCATTTGCAAAGGACTTTCTATTCCTTGCTACAGCCTTAACTCTTTTGATTGCAATCTGGGCCTCTGTTGGCGGAGATTTCTTTTTTATGCAATAGGCAGCAATAAACTACAGAAAAACTCAAAATTGATTGCTGCATTTAAGTAATGCATTAATATATAAGCTTACCTTTTAAAAGTCCAATGATAATTCTTTTGCCACCACTTAAAGACAATTTGATGTATGCAGATCCTTATTTTCTATACAAACAATTATTTTTATTTCATGGGTAACTTTCACTGGATTTCACAATTAATTTCAATTATTCCCAAAGTTATTTCCACATTACAGAAATTGTTATTGTACAAAAAAAATTGTTGCAAAAAATCACGTAAAAAACAAAAAAACAAAAAATCACTGAAAATAATCACAATAATAAAAACTTGGGAATCCAAAATTTCTGTAGCATGAGCTATTGAAAGTTAGATTATTATGTCCCTTTAACTGAAAAAAGTGTGACACACTGACATTCACATTTATTATATAGATGAACAAGCAAGAAAAATGTTTGTGTGCTTTGAAAAAGCAATTCCACAATACAATTTTTACCCAAAAATATATTTTCTATTTTCCATAGTATTTCTTTCATTGGAAATTTACCAGGAACAAATGGAATCTATTTTGTTGTTCTTTTATGATACTAATTGCTATTATGCAATTACTGTACATGACTGGTGTTGTTGAAAAATGAATTATGCAAAATAATAACCTGCAATTTTATGATTAACAAAAACAACTGTAACACAGTGTGACATTGGTAAATGGAAAAAAGGGCCAAGTTGGAATATGAGCTTGGAACAAGATGAAAAGGATTAAATAATGGAATGATAGATAAACTAAAAGAAGTAGTAAAATTGCTTTTATTTTTGAAAGTCTATTTTTTTTTTTGAGCAGAGACAGCTTGAAGAAAATGACTGTGTTGTTTTGGAGAAAGATGTTACCAAAGAGGGTACCTGCAAAAAGCTGGGCTGACAATTGATGGCACTGCCTTAAAGTAGAAGTTACAAAAACATCTCGAAAGGACCAGCCAAAAAAGAAGGTCAATTGAGGAGATAAAATCTGCTAATTTTAAAGGATAGGCAAATGGAGAAAAACTGATTGATGATTGTTGTCAAAAATTAAAAGACTATAAAAACAATTCCAGAGAAAGTATTTCATACCTCACTTAAAAGAAATTAAGATGTGAAGATTATGGTAGAAGGGAAGAAGCTAGTTAATTTCTGATTATAAAGGCAAGACATTAAACTGGAAAAAATGTGCTGACGACAATTAAAGTAATAAATACGATTGATGACCAAAAGATTAGTCCAACCTGTTCATTTACAAAATTTGAAATTGAATTTGTCAAGATGACAACCGAGGGTAGAGAATTAGGTGAAATACCAAGAGAAATGGAGGGATTGTCTCTGCCCACTGGCAGGTAATGGTACGAGTCACAAATAAGAGAAAGAAGGAGTTATTGGGGCAGGCCAGTGCCTGCAACCACTGCCCATGGAAAAAAAGTCTCCCAGATTTGGAAGGATAATTAATTTTCCAAAACCAGCCAATAAAGAACTCTGAGTCCCCAAACACGTCAGCCCTCATGTTGGTCTTGGGCAGAGGTCAATATAAGCAGAGCAGTGGAGTGACCAAACCAATTGTAGGCAGCTGGAGAAGCAGATGACAAGAGACAACTACGCTGCCGAAGCCCATGTAACTTGCTGCCAAAGAGAACTCCTAACTTCAGTCTTGTTCCAGACTCAGCTAAACTGAGCAAAGTGTCATGATAGAATAGTGGGAAGGGTTAATATTTCTGTACAAAGAACAATATAAACCACATAGAAAAATGACCTGAAAATTTTCCTGTCTTCTTTTATTTTGTCTGCAAAGAACATTGTTTATTTTGTTTTTCTTTGTGACATAGTTTCCCTGTGGTTTGAACCAATTCTATGATTGCTGACGACAACTCAGTCTTTGCTGGTTCCAAGATCAAAAAGCACAATGTGGCGGAGCAGAGCACAGACTGGGATGGCCACTTCAATGACCAGTAGCAGTATTGACCAGCATAGGAATTGATCAAGGACCGACCGGTGAGAAGTATCATACAACAACCAGATAAAGAAAAAAGTAAAAAAAATTAATAATGGAAATGATTAATCTCAAAATTAAACTAGCTTAAGAATAATTCTTTATACTTTTATATTATCTTAATTTTGTTTGTTCCTTCATTAGTACATGTATTATGCCCTTCCATTACCTCAGATAAATAATGAATGATTACAAGGAAAGATCATAGAAAAGGATATATCAGAGATGCTGTTTGGTTGAAGGGAAAAAAAGAAAGAAAGGTAAGATAAAGGAAGTAATAACATGATGATGTGTTTAACATCTGCTTTGATGAAATAGAAAATTGTTAATTTTTAATCTTTGTATTTGTACACTTTTCTAACAGAGCTCTTGCCTTGTTTAAACTTTTAATTGCATGAAATTGGAGGATAGTACTACTAATTAGATAATAATTATTAAAATTCTCAGGAGAGTAGATTGAATGAATTTAAGAATGGTTCCAAGGAGAATGGAAGCCAGAACTAGCCAAAATTCAGTAAAATTGAGTAAAAACCAACGTTCCCCATGATATCCACTTCCCACCAATAAGAAAATGTAAAGCGTTGTCTGAATTTTTTAGTCCTAAAAAACTAAATTTGGGGGTTTGTTTATGTTTATACTATCTGTCCAAAATGTATATACTCTGCACCACTCTTTTCTGTAATTCTTCTAAGCAAAGAAAGCATTTGTTTCATAGCTAAGGTCCCAGGTATGAGATTTTGTTTACATTATACTATCCATTCGATATGTGTATATTCGTACAGAAAAGAATGACACAAATTCCTTTAAACCAAGAAAGGATCTGAATTTTGTCTAATTCTCAAGCTTGTGGTTTGTTAATGCTAATGCTGTTTGCTCCCAAGCAACATCATCTTTACAGAAAGAAAGACGATAACTGAACAAAGGGAATGCCATGAGATTATTAACAAGATCTAAGATTAAGATGGTTGGAGTGGATATATCAATGTCAAATTTTAAAGAGGAATCATCTACATAAAAAAGGGAGAATCAGGCACAAGGAGATTCACTCTGATTTCCTCACATGAACACATGAACATTTTTGGGGGCCAGAGCAAACACACGGGCACATGCATGTCAGGCAGTTGCTTTAACTATTTTATAGAAATTAATATTAGTTTTCTCAAATTACCATCTGGCAAGTAGAGAGCTTAATTCTTCAGTAAATAATAGAGACATTTTATTCATCAGTTTTTCTTTATATTCAATAAACCTGTTAGAGTTATCAACAGTGTTGTACATTTTATTAAAGGAACTCTTATTTCAGCTCTGATTCCCAACATGGTCCTGGGACGCAAAGAGACAAAAGTTACCACAGACAGGAAACATGCAATCTTGTCTATGGTACACAATGTACATAGATGGGTCCACACAATCCCAATATCATAAGATTTTGGGAAACCTGAATCACCCTATCAAAACCACAAACCAGCTCCAACTGAGGAGGGAAAAGAAAACCAGATGACTTGTAAGGTTGGTATTAATAAACAAAGCCAGTGAAGCTAGCCATTGAGAAAGAAAAGGAGAAGCAAAGATGGAAGAGAAGAGTGTGAATAAGGTGTGGGTTACATTCTTACTTATAATTGCTATTGCAATATTTTGTTAAAGTTATTAAGCTCAAATATTTAACAATGTAATAGGAGAATTCCCGTGGGTTTTTAATAGTCATGAAACACACAAGGAGTTCATTCAATCATTAACTTACGAATTATGATTCATCAAAATATTTAAATAAGAAAACCATAAAATTCATACAGATACTACTAGCATTATATTCTAAATTGGCTCCACAAATGAAGATTTAGGACAGGTAAGTTCTACCTTCATGGCTGTAAGGGAAGGTTTGAAAACTGGAGGAAGCTCCAGTTTTAAGGCACAGCTCTTTCCCATTAGATCAACATTAGAAGTTTTATATTGCACTACTTGGGAAAATAACCATAGACAATCAAGAATAAATATTATTTCAATGAATGGCAGTCATATTTGTAATATTACTGATATAGAATTATGCTATTTCAATGTATCAATATATATCCTCCAATATTCATAAAGTTAGAATGTAAATTAAATTGTTAAATTTCACTATTTGTAGTCTCTACTGCTTAATTCCTTTGTTAGAAATTACTCAAAATTACCATTCAATTATATATATATAAAAAAAATAGACAGGTATAAAAATTGCTGGATTTTATTATATATGTTTGACAGAGTTGAAAAGACAAAAGTTAAGCAGTGTGGAGCTGATTTTCTTTTAATGTGATGGGTTTAGATTTAGAAATAAGACCAAATTCTTGTATCAATCCTAATTTCAATTTAAAATTACATTAAAAAAAACATTGATCAATAAAAATAGTTAAATATCAAAGAGGCAAAATCATTTTTTCATGAAAACAAGAATATAATCTCACATTTCTGAGAGCATCTGGGCAGCTTCAGCAACATTCTTCCCTGATTTTTCCAGCATATATGCTTCAAACTGAATAAATAAGGTTAAAAATTAATTTTAAATAATAATATTCAAAAAGTGACAGTAAATAGAATTTTCATGCACACATACTATATATATATTTCAAATAGTAAAAAACAGATGAAATAAATCCTCAAGATGTTTCAACCTTTGTTAAAAAGTTACAAATCATTAAAATATATTTTACAAACATTAACTTTATCTAAAACTACTTTAAATGTGTTTCCATAATCACATTCACTGTGATACTATTTTGACACTAGCATTTAACATGCTCAAACCCGCACCTGTAAATATTCTCTCAAAATCTGTTTACATGACTTGTCATCATATTTTATGGCAGAGTATACATGGAGAAGGTTTTGGCAGGTTGAACATCGAAAGCTGATATTTATAGGCATGGGTTTGGGTGGGTTGTTTGGTTTGGTTTGTTTTATGGCATATAAACATCAATGGGATATTTAATGCCAACAAGATTGTTATTGCTGGTAATTATTTTTTTTTGTAAAAATGTATTGCTGATATCAAAATCTATTTTTACATTTTCATAGTGTTTTGACCCCAGTTTGGAGGTTAACTATTTGCCCATAGCTGGGACCCAAACAGGTGCTACCACCCCAGGCCAGGGTCGATTGGGGAACACCGACAATTAAGAGGTAGTTCCATGCATCTCAAAACCTCCTGATCAGAGGCCTTGCTTCCGGATGTAGCTTATCATCATACCCAGGTAGTGTTCACACACACACACATATTTATAGGATAACAATATATAAATTTTTATATATCAAAATCAGTTTGGGAGGAAGGATGTATGACAAAAGTGGAAAAAGTTTTTGTGTGATGTGTTTTATCCCTTAGGACTTCATCAGACTAGGTTTGTTTACGTTGATGTGACTTCACATGTGCACAAATGAGAAATACTGGTAATTTTAAATTTAGAATATATATATATATATATATATATGTGAAAAGTGTGTGCGTATATATATATAATTATTTATATATTATATGCATGGTACTTATTAGAAAGCACTCAATATCAGAGATAGAGCTAACATATTTGGTTGGATTGATGTGAGTTTATGACCCTGGGTTTCACGCTTTTGCAATCGTCAGACAAACTTATACCAATCCAACCAGATGAATATATATATATATATTTACACTGATTTCAACGTAGGAGGATCTGACAATCTCATTCAGTGTTTATGTTTGTATTGTATGTGACACTTCTCTCCCACTAGTAACCTGCATACAAGTTCATATATTGGGCAACAGTGATGATCTCGGGACATAGCAACAGGAATATTTGCTGATTCTTTTTGCCATTGTCTTTCATCTCTTAGCCAATCAATATAACTGATTTTGAAATTTCTGATACCACTCTGGCACAAATATCTCTCATTATTTCTATTCAGAGCAACTCATTAGAAGTTAGTATGTGTGTGACAACTGAGAGGTTACTCTTTAGCTTGTCTTTATACCTGAGACACAGCCATTCAACAGTCCTTTGTCCACTGACAAACTGGCTATACATGAGAACCTTATGTATTCTGTTGTCACTCATCCTTGCAACATGAACAGCCCAGTGAAGGTATGACTGCATCCAGAAAGTCTCAATCTCACTAATGTTTTATTATGTGAGAAGATCAATATTGCACACCCTATCATCAAAAGTATAGCCACAAACTGTGCAAAGACAAATTCTCAAAAGAAAAAACTTAACACATCTTGAAAAATATGCTAATAAATTTATTTCAGCAGGTAAGTTTTTAATACCTGCCTCATCAGACCAAAATTACCTGCTGAGGCAGGTATTAAAAACTTACCCGCTGAAATAAATTTATTACCAGATTTTCGAGATGTGTTAAGTTTTTTCTTTTGATGTATATCATATTGCTCTGTATAAAATACATTGAGTTCTCTGCATGGATTTATCTTTTAATATTTTATATTAAAAAGATCTACTTGGATTACCCTTTCCACTTACGAATTTGATATTTTATATATATATATATATATATATATATATATATATATATATATATATAAAATGGATTAAATCCAAGATATTTGTAATTTATTCATTTAAACATTATCTTAAATGGATACTCATATGTGAGTAGATGCTGTTTTTATTTATTTATTAAGCAGTATATTTATTTATTTACATCTACTGGCCTGAATATTTGAGAAATTTTGTTAGAAAATAATGTTTAAAAAACAAATAAATTACTAATACATATAATAACAAAACAAAATGTCTTTAGCAACAGGAAGAATTTAGAGAACGCTATTTTCATACTGTTAACAGAAATTAAGTCAATTACTGTCATGTGTGGAGATATTTTTTTATTGCTGTGTTGACGGATTCAACCATTTTCTTTTGATTTCTTGATACTGTTCTGTACGTTTGTTTGGGAGAGTAGTAATTCTGTTAAGAAAGGTGAAATAGGGAAAAGGCCTGGGCGTAGATTAATATTTGGGTAGTATTCAATGGCGGCACTCTCAAGGATTTTCCTTCTGAGTGAGTCATTTTCTTTTTTTGACTGTAGCATTTTTAAAATCAAAATTGTGGTTGAATTTATTTCTATGTATGACTAGTGCATTAGCTAAGTTGTTTTTTGTGAGGCCTCTCTTGTGCTCATAAATGCGTTTTTTAAAATTTCTACTTATTTCTCCAGTATATTGGGAGGAACAGTTTTGGCAATTTATTTTATAAATGCCTGCTTCAGAAATATTATTGCTATTAATGTTTGAAGATCTGAGTATATCCATAATGCTTTTGGAAGTGTTTGTGACTATTTTAAGATTATTTAGATGGGATATGTTGTTCTGGATAGTGAACATGACAGAGTTGGTCAGTAGTATTATGCATCTGTTTTCATGTAATTTATTATTACTTAAAGAAGAAACATACATAGAAAACACATTCAAAAACCTACAATACCCATATCATTTCATCCACAACGCAAGAAGAATGGCATACAAAATATACAACTGAAACAAAAATAATAACATAATCCGCAATAATAAATTAACCTTATGACAATTAAATTGGGGTTATATGAAGAATGAGGTGTTAAATTGAAACTAAAAGAGAGCCAAAAAGGGAGTTTTATATATAAAAAGAAAAATTTATATATATATATAAGTTAGGTTCCAACTTAAAAAATAACAAATTATACTTAAAAATGAAATATATTAAAAAGATTAACAATAAATCATATTTAGATAATCTATATTAAATTTAATTAAAAATATATTTTTAAAATTTTATAATAAAGAATAAAAAAAATTTAAGATAAAATAAATTATCCAATTTTTACTTTAAAGATAAGTTAAAGTTATATATAAAAAAACTACAAAAAACATTAAAAAATATATAAAAAAGGTGTAGAATAGGGGAAAATTATAAGATAGAATTAATATGGTGAAAAAATGGAAATATAAAAATTAGAAATAGTTATACATTCAACATTTGAAGAGTTAAAGAATTCAAAAGTAATAAAGTAAAATCTATATCATAGAAGTTTAAATCTGCCTCTATGTCAACATTTTAAAACTAATTCATTCCTTTGATTTAATAGTTTGTTTTGATTATTGTATTTTATTATTCTAATTTTTTCTTCTAAACACAAGTTACACCGATCTTTAAGACTATTAGGAGTATGAGCGAAACTTATAATTTTCCAGTCTGTGGATTCAGATCTTTCTCCTTCAATTCCCCAATTTTTTTTGAAAGAGCTGTCTGGTATTTTAATTTAGGATTGGTAAAAGAGTGCCTATGGGTATAAAATCTGTTTCCATTCCCTGTAAACATTATAATTTAACATATTTTCTTTGGGGGAAATGGTTGGTTGGTATATAACCCTAGTAGATCTGCATTTGCCCTCAACTGGACAACTTTCTTTATCTCTACAATTAGAGGAGGGTCCCATACCAGGTTTGTTGTTTATCGCATAGAACTTACTTAAAATACAGTTATTATGAGAGTTGATAATTTTGTACATGTTATTGGTGCAGGAATAGCTAATTTTAATCATTTTCCTATTGAAGATCTTACTTAGAGGGTTGTTTTTGTGAAAATGTTTATTTATTAACTTTAGAAATTACTGCCCAATATTAATATTTGACAGTTTGCAGAGCAAGGAGGGTGAACCATAGTTTTCCTTTTTCTGTGTGTGTATATATATATATATATATATATATATACATATTTATTTCAGTTGTATGGATATTAGTTTTGTGGCCCTGGGTTTCATGCTTTTGCAATCATCAGACAAATGGGTTTATTTTTTAAAAAATAAACCAGTTTGTCTGATGATCACAAGTGTGAAACCCAGGGTTACAAACTAATATCCATCCAACTGAATGTGTTAGCTCTATTACTGATATTGAGCACTTTCCGTTAAGTACTGCTCATATAATATATATATATATATATATACCCAAGTATATAATTGGTATATACGGAATGAATTCCAATAACCAACAAAAGTAGAGCAGATATAATTATTTTTTTAAAAAAAAAAAATTTATAACATAAATTTATGTTATAAATATTTATGTTATAAATTTTTTTTATAAAAAATTATATATATATATATATATATATATATATATATATATATATATATAAACAGAGGGCAACACCCAACACTCAAATTTGTTTAATCTTTACCAGAAATATATAATCACATCCAATCACTTATGGTTATATTCTAACAAAAACAAACAACATCCTGTTTTCTAAAACTTTAAGTTAGAGTTTTTATAATGTTCTACTGTAATCTTTATTCTATTAAGCTCATGATTTCAAATTTAGTGTCTTAAGTTTTCTTCATTATTTTTTTTCTAATCTCACCAAAATAAATCCTACACTTTGATCTCAATCAAAAGAGACATTTTTATTTCACTATTAAATTATAAACTTGCTTCTCCATGTTGTCAAATTCAACACAAAGTCAGACAATGTGGGTAGCGGTACAAAATTGTCTAAGGCACCA